CCAGCATTGCGCGCGAGCGGGGAACTTACTCTTTGGGATCCACTGCCTCCGGAGTCAGCGGGAGATTGCGTGAATCTGAGCGCTTTTTTTAGCCACATGTTGTTCCAAGCAGGAACTAAAAGGGTCTGGGTAGTTGTTCAATTGTTCCAGGCCCTCTATTTAACACCGGCTTTGCTAGCTGATAAAGAAGGATTCAGGCCACGAACCTCTTAGCTAACTCACTCCCAGACCATCTGAGCAATCACATGTGCCAGACGCATTTGAGACCTTATGACTGTGGGGTGAACAGTTGCGGTAGAGTTTGCAGCAAATGAGGGCTCCCACGCAGCACCACGTTTGACATAGCGCACGGCTTCCCTCAAGTCGACCATGACCATCGCACATGTGAGGGCCATGGTCCATGGTTAAAAGCTTGGTGTCACGAACCGCTTAGTTTACAACCGAAAACATAATTGTGGGAGCCATGCCCACATTGGTATTGTTCACCACTATTCCTGGGATTGGTGGTTGGATACTAAAGGAGTCTTGCCAGTTTTGGGAGAACCTAAAGCGAACCACTATGCCCGCTTCTTGAACAACTGTGGATACAGGTTGGGGCATTGTCCAGAGAACTTGGATGGATTTGGGAAAGTAGGGCCCTTGTAAACCACTTATACATACTTATGCAAGGGGTAGATGCCTTCATACCTCCAAAACCTATACCTGATGTTTCTCAAGGTCCCAGCCTGCAACCGCACATGGCCTGCAGAAATGTACCCCCTCAACGGGCTCAGTGCGTTTCAAAAGAGGCTCTGCCCGTTTTTTGCCGATGGGTTTCTTCGCTTTCTTGGGGGGGATGGTTAATGAGAGGGCCGCCAACACCGCCGTTTTCAGCAACCACTCGGCTGAGGACGGACGCGGGCATGTACCTCCACGCGGGGCCGGAGATTGGGGTGGCCTCCACCAAGGCCTTCACCTGCCAGGCGCTTTGGCGCTTTGGGCCGCGCGAAGGGCGGAGTTGGCGATGTTGATCGTCTACCGTTCATTTGTTGGTGTCACGGGCACCGTGCAGAACAGTAAAATGGCAAAGGGAAAGCCAACAAACGCAGGACAGCTCAACTTCCCATGTGATCTTGGCATTGGGGAACCAAATGATGTTGTCGCGGCTCAAACGGGTAGTGACCGTACTCAGAAGGGTGAAGAAAGAAGGGAGCAAGTGGTTTTGTTTGCTGTGGCATCGTCAAAACTCCTGAAGCAGCTTATGGTCATGGTCCCCTCAATAAGAATCATTAAAAATAGTTATTAAGGATCCTTACCAGGTTCATGACCCCTAACTCCAAGCAAAGGAACCGCTCCCTTTTGACCATGCCACATCTGGACCTCCAACCCCGGCCGTCCGGCAGGTCATCGCGGTGCTTCTCATGGCTCTGCGCTTGGGCAAGCAGCTGGGCACGCTGTCTGAGGAGATGCGGGCGCCTCAGCGTCTGCGTCAGGCCAGGGGAAGGGGGAAGGGGAAGGGCTCCTGGCGGTTCAGAGTCTGTCTTAGGTTGAAAGGAAACCCGGAGGAAACTCGGCATTTCGGTGGGTCCCCTATTTTCGAGACACACCCAGATGTGCTTTGAACCGTTTGACTTTCATGGTTGTCCGAAACTTGGTTGTGCAACCGGTCCAGGGTGCATTTGCAAACTCATTAATTTAACTAAATACTTGCAGTATTTGAAGGAACTACATCTTTTGGCAGCAGTTTCAGCAAAGACCTGATGCTTACTGCGAATTCAATTGATTTTGCACCCAGCAGCTTGTGACTTCCAGCAGTAGGTTGCCACAGGAAACCATCAGATGATTTCAACTTTTGAGGTAGAACAAGCTTGCAACTCCTCTGCAGCATGAAATTCAAAAGCCCAACATTCTGAGACAAAAACCCAACATTCTGAGGCAAATCCTTTTGCATGAAACCCCTTTTTTTGTTTCCTTCCGTTGATTCCCCGGCAGCTCAGGCTGCACACGTACTGCGCGGCATTGAGCGCAGTGCCAGACAGCATCGAGGAGTGGCCCTTTGGCGCGCAGTTGGTGGGGTCTCGCAAAAAACCTCGGAGTGAGAGGGATCTCAGACGGGCCCCAGACGTGCAGAGGATTGATACCTTCCCTTTCCTTGTGTTTAAGCATGGGCTGCCCCCAACCAGAGAAGGGTGCCCCCTCTTTTCCCCCTGGCACTGGGGGGGGGGGGGTCTTGGTTGGAGTGAGCTGATAGTGAGCTGTAATCAAAACTCGGGTTGAAGGTTATGCGGACAGAAAACAGGTGCGGATATTTGTACAGGTGCGGATATCCGCCCTTTGATTTCTTTGCATGCTTTTTGCGTGGACCCTTTCATGCCAGTTGTTGTCTTTTTTTTGTGGTTTTTGGTGATGGAACGCTTAGGGCTCGGCCCCTCGTATCCTTAAACGTTGATATGGTTACATTATCTGTTTTGTTTGGGGTGATTTTATTAGAGGACGATTCGCAAGATGCCACCTGCATGGACTCCGTTCAATTGGTGTTCTTGTTTTGGGGGGAACCATTCCGTTGGGGGCAAGTGGTGAGGGAACAAAGGCAAAAACGCCCGTGCTTTTGGGGCGGGTTTAAGGCTTTTCCATGCGGCAGTACCCCCCAAGGCTCGATCCAATCGATGAGAACCTTTAAGGTTCGATCAAAATGGTGATTTGGACTGAGGGCACAGGATTCTCTGACTTGACTGCACCCCGAAGAAAAGAAGAAAACACACATCCGGGTGGGAGCCATCGCAGTCTCTCCCAGGTTTTTGGAACAAAAACATATGGATGGAACGTCCTAAACAAAGAACAGGATATCAGTAATTTGACATTTCTTCATAAGGGGAGTTGTCCAAGACTTAGCTTTCTGCTTTTGGAAGTGGGCTATGTACACATTGCAAGATGGTGTCTACTACCCCAAACCACTCCCCCCAGGGGAAAACAAGTTATACCCTTCATATGGTGGCTACATACATATACATATTAAACAAGCATACTTGTGCATCCGACTAAACCATGTGCGTGTGAGTGTTTTTAACGCAGATTATAAGCCCCTTCCAAGTTGGTTCACTGGGTTTCTTGGTTTCCCTTGAGCCCCTAGATCTTAAGCACCGGCAATTCCGAAAAAGGGTTTGGCCAAATGTTGCCTTTTTGTTTTCCCAAAGTGCCGGCCAAAATGGTGCACTAAGATGCGCTTCGGCTTCCTCTTGGCATCCCTCAAGCAAAATCAAACTAGACAGGTACCGAGCCACCCAAAAAGGGACAATCATGTTTGCGAACCTTTCGGGTTTCACTGGTGGCAAAACATGAGCTGCCAACAATCGAGAAAATATTTTGTTTGGTGGCTTTCCCGCTCACTTCCAGGCAAGCCACCATAGTAGGTCATGTCAATGTAAACCCTAGAGGTAATTGTCCCTGGTTATCTACTATAGTGGTAACTGGAAGCACTGGGCTGCCATGGCCAATCCCAGAAAGGTTTGCAACTTATCTGCCAGGGTCACTCAACAATTGCAAGCTATACAGTATGCATTTTGAAGGCGATGAAGAAACAGCACAGGTAACACGGCCGATTTCACCCACGAGGCTTTCAATATTGAGCATCCTTAAGTTCAGATGGGTAACTCAGCTACAACGTCGTATGGGGAGCAGCACCTTGCTTTATGCAGCCGCTTTGGAGCCCCTGCTGAGGCTCAAGTCGCTTACGGAGCAGACCCGAGTAATTTCGAAGTGCGCCAAACGCAGACACGGAACAGCCTCCCACCTGGTGTTTTTTGAGGGTGCCCTTTTCAGGTTGGTTTGGCGGGAAAGGGAAGCCCGACCATTTTGGGGCTGCCCCTATTTTGACGCATATTCACATAGATGGTCCAGGAGTTTGCGTTCAAGTTGTTAGCCACCAAGGTTTGCTCAAGGAGGTTGACTGCGTTGATTCGGGCATCGTACCACTCCCAGATGATCTAAGAAAGAGAATCGAGTGGTGTACCTCTACGGAATGCAGATCAGGATCTAAATTAGGGATCCCCACATTTTGAACAGCCAGACTCTGCAACAATTGAAGTCGGAGGGGTTTTCTCTAGAGACAACCCCCCAACAGGTGCTGGCCAGGGGTCCCCTCAGTCCCCTCTACACCCCCCTCACGAAATTTCACGGCTGGATTTCTCGCAGGTGGTCCATAGCGTTGGTCCAAGCGTTTGTTAAAACACAAATTTAGCAGTGCCCAATTGGGGCCGATTCCCAAAAGGGCAATAATTCCTTCCCATCCATGGGGGTGTAGCAAGGCCAAAAAAGCCTGCGTGCTTTCTGGAGGACAAATTTGATTGCGGGGCCTGCTTTTGTTTTGATGGCTGTACGTGGAAACCTTTTATGCCTTTGCTGGAGCCTGAGTTTGAATATTGGAAGCTAAGTATTTGCGTGTGTGTGTGTGTGCGCGGAGTGTCAGATCCACCCTGGCGCCAACAGTTTTCAAGCAGAGGCGTGCAGCACCTTTGGCATACTGCACGCAATGAAGCTACTGCCAAAGTGAACCTTGTTGGAGCCGAAAGACCATGGGTTCTTGGGCGCTCAAGTGTTGCAACAACACACGTTTGCCCTCTTATTTTCGGAGTTGTTGCCCCCAACTTATTAAACCAACTTGTGGTGAACTGCTTGCAGGCATGATCTCACAAGCCATCGGAGCGTTCGGTGAAGGCCTGGAACAGGATTTGTCCAAGATGCTTCCACCCGCACAGGGCTTGAGAATATTCAACTCTTGGTGAGTGTGTTTGTGTGTGTGTGTGTTTTGTTTTGTTGATATAGCCAAATGGTATATACCCTGCTCTTTCCTGGGTGGTTTAATCTTAGTGCCCTCCCCCTGAACAATATATATGAAAAATACAACCCCCCCCCCCCCCCCCGCCCGGCGAGGTACTTCCGGCTGGCCACCAACGCCCTCTTCTCCGGCGTGGGGATCCACTTTCCCGTGGCGCTGGAGGGCGCTCTCAAGCTGAAGGATCGCACACAGACGGCAGACGCGATTCAGTTCTGGAGTCTCCAAAGGAATTGTATGGGTGGACCATCTGGACCCCAAAGGCCGCAAACTACATCTGCAACATTTGTACCCCAGATGTTCAAGATTTATGTGATACCAAGAGAATCCACCAAAGTGATCTAATGTGTATATATGTATATGTATATGGTACCTTTTATACATAGGATGATGAATCATGTAACACATAGTACATATATATATATAGATATGGCAATCATGAACATAACTAACCTTTCAATATCTCAGGTTTCGGGTCATTCTCCACAGCCATCGCCAGTTGGACCGGCTAGTGCCCCTTTGAGACTGTGGTGGCTCTTTCGTTTGATCCTGACCTTGTGCCGTTGGCCCCGTAGGTGCCCCTTTTGGTTTAGTTTGGTTGAACCTAGATGGAGGTTTCTCAAAATGCTGGGACTCTTTTTGGGTGATAAAGGGACACTTAGGAAACAGCCCATTTCGGGGTGCCCGGATTGAGAAACAGATGAGTCCCGCTGTCAGTTTGCCGCCTATTTATCCAGTGGAATCCGTGATTATTTTTCACGGAAAGACACCTTGCTCGACTGCAAATGGATTTTGACATTTTGGGATGCCATGTGACGGGAGCAATCAACCGCAAAGTGAATCGGCCAAAAGGCAAGCTCTGGAAGAGATGGCCAAAACCCGGGTGGAAGTTTCGGGTAGTGGGTCCTTCCATGTCCTTTCATGTCCTTTGGCCTGCCATGTCCTCCCTCTCTCATACAGGGTTGGCTTTGCACCTACGAACGTTAGCTTGAACTTCTGTGGTTTCCCGGGACCAATTTTTCGCATGCCGAGGAGTGAACATTGAAGGGTTCTCCAAATTGTCTTGGGGAATCTTTAGGGAGGTTCTTTATATACTTGTTTGCTATTGTGTTGGATCTTTAAACCGTAACTTTTGGAAACATGTGTGTTTTAGTCAACAAGAAGCGACACTTTTTGCACAGGGGGCAATAACCACCCCCACGCTTTAGTCTACCACTAAGCTCGGGCAATTTGGGTTGGTGGTTTAGGGATATGAAGCCCTACTTCTTACTTTGAGGGCGAATGGGAAACCAGGCCTAAGCTCCAAAACACCGAGAGGGAAGCTGAGATGTTTGGATCCCCAGGAGATCTCCTACATCCACGCAGAAGGGTTTCCGGCGGCGGAAATCAGGCAGGCGGGTTCGAGCCAGACTTAGCGGTCCGTTTGTGGGTGTCAAATAGGGAAAGCATCCGCGGACCAAAAGAGATGGTTTGATTTCGTTGTTCCTTTTTTCTCCCCCTTACAGGGGTACCGTATCAAAAATAACACCCTATCGTAAAGGGGGCCTGTCTTTTTTCACTGTCAATATTGCTCGTTTGTCCATTTGGGACAGACGAGAAGGGCCGTTGTTCCCCGAATTTCCCCTAGCAAAAACAGGGGACGGAACCCAAAACACCTCCTGTGTCCTCTTGGGGCAACCTTCGTGTTGACAGCTCACATGCGCAGGCATGGCGGCATCACGCTCATCCGGAACTTTGTGCCTGTAATTTGCATCGCAATGAGGCGCGCGAGCCGCGGGCGGAGCTGGAAGGGCCAACACATGGGCTGTGAGAACAGGTCTTGACTCCACCGTTGCATCTACTTTGGGGTTGTTTGCTCCGAAAATGACCGTGGCTGTCAAGAGGAACAGGTCACTTTGACTCGAGTCAAAGTACCAAGGAGGTAGGGTCACAGCACCAAAGGAGGTACTTTGACCCCGTTTAACCCCCTCAACCCTCCTCAAAAGGTGCTTGGCCCCTTTGGGTGAGATCTGGGCGTGCCCTTTTCCTAGAGATCATTTTTTGAGGCCCAAAAGGGGGGTCGCGTTAAAGGGAGCGTTTCAAAAAGTGCCACCCCCACGACCAGCTTAGCCATGTTTAGACCACTTATCAGCACCCTCCAACTTAAACTGGAGTCTCCTCCACACATTTTTAGGGTGGACTAAAACAAAGATGCTGTGTGCCATGGGCAGAAACCTGCCTAAGTTTGTAGCGTCTCACCTTCGGGCGAACCCTCATGAATGTCTTTCACTTGGGGATCCAACTCTTGTTTCAGGTTTTAGAGTCATTTGTAACAACATGGAGATTTAATCCCTGAGTTTCTGCTCCGGCCTTTGCTGGGGTCTCGATATATTCCATATTTTCAGGTTGACAAAGTATGGTCCAGGATCTCACCGTGTTTCAACCTCCATTGCGTTTCCCTTCTGAAAGGGTCCTAACGGGGCCCAGAAATTCGCAGGCATGATCCGGCCTACGAGCAGACGAAGCAGGTGGTCTCGGACTTCAGGACGCTTTTGTGTGTTTCTTTCTCGTAGGGACCCTCCCCCCAAAACATGGGGTGGTACCTGGTGTTTTCCTGAAAGCCACTAAAAGAAAGGGCACCCTCAAAAAGAGAGACAGCCACATTTTTGTATTTTGGGGTAGACTGAGTATGGAGCGGAGTCAGAAGTGATTGTTTTCCGTGAGGCCCGTTGTGGACCAAGGAATGGGTGAGTTCTTCTGAGCGAACAATCTATGTAACCTTGAGGCTTAGTGGAGGTTCCAGCAGTTTCTAAAAGGTCTTAAAAAGTCTGCTCCAAAACCAATCATATCCTCGGAACCTGTGAATTCCCTCTGAACTGCCCTGAAAACTACTCAATGGTTACCCTCACGGACATACCCTCCCGACAAACATGACACCAAGATGGTCCCCGGAACATGGTCACTTTGCGCAGTTCAATGGCAATCGGTTTCAATGGCAGAACCCCCCTCAAACATGGCTGGTGGTCACAATTCACATCGCAAAGATGTCCACAGGGTTCCCAACGGAAACTCATACCCGAACGAGCAGCGCTCAGGCACGTGTAAGGATGTGCTTGGTCAAACTCTGCTGCCGATATGGTAATTTAGGGGGGATGTGTGGGACGAGCCACCAAAATCCAGCCTCACAATTCAGAGGACAAAAATGAAGACTTGTGTGGATTCCTACTGGAGAGGCTATGGGGTCCCGTTCTGCCGCCGGTTCTTCTGATGAACAACAAGGGTCAGGTAAATTCAATAATTGACCATAGATGAACTCCACAAGTTTTGGTTTTGTGCCAATCGTTTACCACTGGATGGACAAATTCCACCCAAGGCACCAGCTGGTACAGATGCCTTATCCCATTAAAAGGGGTTCGTCCATCCCAAGTACGTGAATTTGCCCATTCACAGTATCTTGCTGTAGACTAGTGCGAACCCTGCAAAAGCAATGGATTTGCTCTAATTTGACGCCCTTCTTTCTTCTTAGATTCTTGGGACGTCGACTTGAGCTTGTGTGTGTGTGTGTGTGGGTTTGTGTTTGATGAGGCTCACCCTGGTTGTTGCTGGCAACCAATCACATCCGCTTTTGTTGGGAGGGTCCCCCTGCTTGACCACAGGGACGCCCTTCGCATCCCTCGCAGGGCGAAGGATGCCGCTGTGGTGGTCATCACGGATCAAGGGAACCGGGACTTCGATCAGGCGAGCCTTTGGAGTTCTCGAAAGGGGCGGCCTTTCAAGTCGGTATGGGAAATGGGGCTGAAGAGAGCTTTAGGTCGCCCCTTTCTGGATACTATGGGAATTTTGATGTACTGAGAAAGCATTTGGTATGAACGAAATTGTGATTTCCCGCCGAGGCTTTTCCGGAAACTAGCAACCCAACCCTGGTTCCTGTAATTGCCGATGCTGGATCACCTTTTCGACGCCGTATGGAACCCATGATCCAAAGCTGCAATGTACACGCAGGGTGGGTCAAAGTTTGGTAACATTTATATATATATATATATCTCCTTCTGTTGAATCATCTATCCATCCTTCATCCAGCCATCCATCCATCCAATCTAATCTAATCTAATCTAATCTCTATCTATCTATCTATCTATCTATCTATTTGTGTACTCATGAGGGCAACCACCCACTCATCTCAAGTTTTGGCTTGAAGATTGATCTCGGTGTTCTTTGCTGCATTTTTCTTGGGGTTCCAGCTTGTTGCTTTCATTTTGAGTATGCCAGCTTAGGAAGCCACACGCCACCCCTTGCCCCTTTTTTGCTCAAGTCAGCGGGTGACAACTTTTCAAAGTTGGTGTAGCACAATTGACATAGTATCCAAGGTTGACTCCAAGCCATGGAAAACCCAATAGCGAGGGGCGCTATGGAGAAATTTGGCCCTCAATGGCCCTTGTTGCCCCGAATTGTCACCACTAGGCTGCAATGCCAGCCCTTCCGATGGCTCTGAGTCAATATGTTCAATAGCACTGTCCCGTTTCAGGCCGTGCTCTTTGATTCTCTTTCAGGACCGCAGAGAAGTGGGTCATTCCAACTCATTTCCTACTGACCAGCCAGAAATCCTTGTCAAGTTCGCTTGTGGTGGCTTCGTACAGGAGCTCGGCCTTTGCATTTGTTGGGGGCTCTTGCAGTCACCCATGACACCATTTGCTTAGTTTTTTGGTGAGATTACCAATTCGAAAGTGAGCAGAGCTCACAACGATGGTCCTTTACTTGGGGATCCAATTCACATTTCAGGTTTTGGAATCATTGTAAATTTGCCGACCTAATCCCTGAATTCCCGAACTTCACTGGAGTCTCATGTTTTGATATCTTTCTTTGCGATATCGGCCAGAATCTGACCTTTGTTTGAGCACCCTTCCTTTTTTTTGGGGGGAACCTCACTTCCTGAGTTCATGGACGACACTGTTTTTGGGAAGGCAATTTCTAGTGGGAAACAAACAGTTTTGCACGTTTTTCGGCCCATCAACCAAAGTGAGGTGTCCCCGGTTTCGCCGACGTGCCGAAACGTCGGCGAGGTGGCGCAGTTCGTGGTGCAGTGCCCTGAAACCAAGCTGGAGCTTCAGCCCGAAGCCTCAGAGAGCGACAGCTGGGGACCCCCCTTTTGTCGAGGGAACCCCTGGTGCGTGGCGTTTCGGGGGGGAAAAAGCCGCCAGGGGGCCGTAACTTTGAAACCCATGGATTGATTCTCTTGCCTGAAAACCGTATCCAAAAAGGTTGCACTGCAGGTCCAACCCAATGATTAGCACCCAGGGGGCCTTGAGTTCCTGAACTTTGCTGGGGTTTCGGATTTTTGTTTAACTTGATATGATATGGGGCAGAACCTGACTGTATCCCATGCCGTGGATGGATTCGCACCTTTATGGTTTTGTGTTGGGAAACCATAATAAGAGACCACTGGTTGAAACCACCGATCCCTCCCCCCCCCCCGGCAAGCGTCCAGCGTCCGTCGGGGCTCTCGGCAGGCCGCTGATCAGCTGTGTACCGCTGCAGCTGCTGCTCCTTGGCAGAGCGGATGCCATTGGAGTACATTCTCTCCCCTGCAGCTGAAGAGGAAACCCGCAAACCCGCCCATTCCTAGAGGAATCTCCTTTTGGGGCACCCCCTTATCAGAAGGGGCGAGAATTTCTTTGACACCAGCTTACAGCATGCTCATAGACATAGAACTAGAATGTTGGTACTGGGTTAGCCTTTCATATTGTATGGTCTGTTTTTTGTTGATCTCCCTCCAAGAAGATCCCGCAATTTCTGCAGTCTCACTTTTAAACGAACCCATATCCTGCCTTGCAAGCCTCCAAAAGCATTGCACCCCTGTAAATGGCAGAACACGGGTGGGTGAAATGTCTTTTTTTGCCACTACCCCGCCCCGGGAATACGAAGTGAGCAAAAATCACGCTACCCCCCCTTGTTCCTGTGTTCCCCTTTATTTTCCCCCCTATTATCAAATCTCAGAACCCCCCCCCCCAATGCGGTCCCCCCTTTGGCGGGCGCAAATCCCAGCAAAATGGTAATCGGCTAAGGTTGGATCTGTTTTTGAATTGCTCAAAGCAGTCAGTGTAATTCAAAAGGCGCAATTAAAGATCCAATTTACAATTTGATTTTCAACTAAAGGAAGAGAAGTGCTGAAAGTACCCCCCACTAAAAATGGCTGTCAGACGTTTTGTATTGGTTTAATATTGGGTTATCCAAAAGTAACAGGGGAGAGACCAATGTGTCAACCTTGTGGACTGCATGAATTCATTGACATCCGGGATTCAGACAACCATTGAGACGGTCCCTGTTCTTGGGACCCCAGTTGATGAAAGCAGAGCCCTTGGTGATTTTGTCTGAGAATGCAAATGGTTTGAAGCGGCCTAGTTCTCCAGCAGACTTTGTTTTGTCTGGTGAAATGGTAGGTCGACCCAAGTGCTGCTGCTGCCCAAAGGTTTCCTAGCATGCACCAGTGTTAAGTTTTTTGGGGTTAGTTTAATGGAAACCAAAAGGAACACCGTGATTTTGGGGCCCCAATAAAACACACCCCGACCGGTCCCTGTTAAAGGGATTCGAAAAGGGCTTTGTTCAAACAAGGGGCATTTCAACATGTTTGAACAAGGGTTTGGCCCCACCCGGCCGGGCGGAAGGGCCGAGGGCGGAACAAGTTGCTTTTGCCTCGTTTTGGAGGGCACGGCCATCACAGCAAATTCCGAAAAAAGTGCGTCTTGTCTCGACAGTGGGACTGAGCAGGTCATACTACATTGCTGACATGAGAGGATGTTCTATTGACCAGCCGCGGAATCTGGCGAAGAGTGTCACGGTTGAGTGAAATCCGCTCGGCCTTCCTTCCTGTTAGTGGGAGGTTCTGCTTGCTGGTTCTCATATCATGCCCCATTCCGAAAACCCAGTTGTTTTTGGACAGCGCAGAACCAGCAAGCGTTTGTTAGTGCCAATCCCGAGTTGCGCTGCGCTAATCGCAGCGTCTGCTCGGCGGTTCCTCTTGTCGCGCCGTGCGTGATTTTATCCAAGGGTGATTCTATCACACCCTGGATTACACCCGAGAATGTCTGAAATTGCCAATCTTTATCTGGAAATGGCCCATTCCCAGGTGTAGTCCCAGGGTGTCATGAAAAGCTCGGAAGGCTCCTTGGATTTGCAGGCCCTTGGGCTGCCTTCTGCGCCCATGCGTTAACGATGACTTAACCCCGGGCATCTCTCAGCTGCTGAATTTTGAACGGAGAGCAAGATATACATGTATTTCTGTGTCAGTTTGGCAACATCCTTTGTCATTGCGTGGAACTGAGAGGTCGGGAGGCAACTGGCCAGCAAGAAGGCCAAAAGCGCGGGGGCTGCTTTTGGTCGCTCGTCTACTTCGTGCTATAAGGGTGGTTGCAACCAAACTCATCAACTCATCCAACCCGCTTTTGCAGTGCTCCACCTGATTCTTTTTTGGGGGGCGGAATGAACAGTCCCAGGCTGGGTTTTGGTCCGGGAAGGCGCTTGCTTAGAGCCAAACTGAAATCGACCCGTGGCATGCTGTAGATCACCCCTAGTTCCCAACAGCCACCCCTCTCAAAAGGAATCTTATTATCTATTCATTGTTTGTTGAAATCCTTCCCGTCTCTGTTTGTGCCTTTGTCTCTGTCTCTGTCTCTGTCTCTATCTCTGTCTCTGTCTCTGTCTCTGTCTCTCTCTCTCTCTGTGTCTCTCGCCAGCTTTCTCTCTCGCCAGCTTTCTCTCTCGCCAGCTTTCTCTCTCGCTCGATCTCTCTCTCCCTCGTCCTTCTCGCCACACAAGTAAGTCTTGAGGCGTTGCATTTTCTCTAGCCCATTGACTTGTCAGCACAGGGTTGTTCAAAACGAACGGTCGCATTTTGGGACTCCGCCGCCCATTGTTTCTGTTTTTTCCCGAAAGCATCGCGAAGGGTTCTTCCGCGCGGAGCTCTCGGACTAACTTGCATAGAGCCACTTGCGCAGAGTCAAATACATAGAGCCAAGTGCATAGAGCCGTGCAAAGAGCCAAGTGCATAGAGCCAAGTGCATAGAGCCAAGTGCAAATAGAGCCAAGTGCAAATAGAGCCAAGTGCATAGAGCCGAGTGCGCAGAGCCGAGTGCATAGAGCCGAGTGCCTAGAGCCAAGTGCATGGAGCCAAGTGCATAGGGCCAAGGGCATATAGAGCCGAGTGCACAGAGCCGAGAGCATAGACCCAAGTGCACAGCGCTTCGGCGCTGCAGCTATGTGAGTTAAATTTAGCTTTCTAGGGCGCCGGGGCAGGACTTTGATCGTCGATCAGGATTGCGACCCTCTGCGGGGATCGGCGTGGTCGAGGTACAAAAACTCGAGGTTTTTGCGATTTCTGATCTGCCCGCGCGACCCTCTTCGGGGATCGGCGTGGTCAAGGTCCCGAGGTTTTTGTGCTTTTTTGCGGTGCGCGGATGAACCCTCTGCGGGGATCGTGCGTGTCGACGCGCTCTCGCTGTGGCGCCGTGCGAATTCGCGGCGAAGCCTCTGCGGAGATCGTGTGTCGAAGCGCTCTTGCTGTGGCGCCGTGCGATTTTATTACTCGCGAAATGGCCCTTGGAAGTTGCCTCGTGATATGCGCACCTGCTTTCGCAATCGCGCGGTCGCAGGTTCGTTTCCCCCCCTGGTCCGCGGCAGCTCCGGCTCAAGCAAAGAAGCCGTAGTATGTGGAGTGTACTCCTGGCGGCTCCAACCGGAAAATTGCACCCCTAAAGCGCAGACGTATAGTGCGCGGAGCACCTCCACAGCTCAGCTCAGGCTGAGCATCTTGCGCACAGATACAAGCGCCGAGCGTCTTGCGGCGGAGAGAAACTTGAACAGAGCAACGTGCGCAGAACAGCTTGAAGACAGATGTCGAGCCACTTGCGTGCAGCAGCTTGCAGAGAGCAACTTGCACGCAGCAGCCTGGAACACTGCAGCTTGCGCAGACACTGCCATGTTTCCTCTCGTAGGACGATGAGATGGAGCTCTCATGTGACCATACACATTGAGATAGCTTCGCCGCGTACAGGCACGCCTGCCGCATCGATGTAAAAAGGCGTCTCCGCGGCTGGAAGAGCGCTTGGGGAAAAATGCTTTCCGCGAGGAGCTCTCGGACCAACTTGCAAAGAGTCACCTGCGCAGAGTCAAATACATAGAGCCAAGTGCATGGAGCCAAGCGCATAGAGCCGTGCATAGAGCCAAGTGCATAGGGCCAAGTGCATAGAGCCAAGTGCAAATAGAGCCAAGTGCAAATAGAGCCAAGTGCATAGAGCCGAGTGCGCAGAGCCGAGTGCATAGAGCCAAGTGCAAATAGAGCCAAGCGCACAGAGCCAAGTGCATAGGGCCAAGTGCATATAGAGCCGAGTGCACAGAGCCGAGAGCATAGAGCCGAGTGCATAGAGCCAAGTGCACAGAGCCGAGAGCATAGAGCCGAGTGCATAGAGCCAAGTGCACAGAGCCGAGTGCACAGAGCCGAGTGCATAGGGCCAAGTGCGCAGACCCGAGTGCACAGAGCCGAGTGCATAGAGCCAAGTGCGTAGGAGCCAAGTGCATACAGCCAAGTGCATAGAGCCAAGTGCGTAGGGCTTCGGCTCTAGCAGCTATTCTAGGGCGCCAGGGCAGGACTTTGATCGTCGATCGGGATTGCGACCCTCTGCGGGGATCGGCGCGGTGGAGGTGCAAACACTCGAGGTTTTCTGCGATTCTTGCGGCGTCCGCGCGACCCTCTGCGGGGATCGGCGTGGTCGAGGTGCAAAAACTCGAGGTTTTCTGCGATTCTTGCGGCGTCCGCGCGACTCTCTGCGGGGATCGGCGCGGTCGAGGTGCAAAACTCGATGGCGCCCGCGCGGCCCTCTGCAGGGATCGCCGTGGTCGAGGTGCAAAAGCTCGAGGTTTTTTGCGATTCTTGCGGCGCACGCGCGACCCTCTGCGGGGATCGGCGTGGTCGAGGTACAAAAGCCCGAGGTTTTTTGCGATTTCTGATCTGCCCGCGCGGCCCTCTGCGGGGTTCGGCGTGGTCGAGGTGGACAAACTCGGGGATCGGCGTGGTCGAGGTACAAAAGCCCGAGGCTTTTTGCGATTCTTGCGGCGCCCGCGCGGCCCTCTGCGGGATCGGCGTGGTCGAGGTGGACAAACTCAAGGTTTTTTTTTTGCGTTTTTTGCGGAGCGCGGATGAACCCTCTGCGGGGATCGTGCTTGTCGACACGCTTTCGCTGTGGCGCCGTGCGAATTCGTTTTAGTCTCGGCGAACCTTCTGCGGATATCGTGTGTGTCGAAGTGCTCTCGTTGTACCGCCGTGCGATTTTATTACTCGCGAAATGGCCCTTGGAAGTTGTCTCGTGGTTTGCGCGCCTGCTTTCGCACTCTCGCGGTCGCGGGTTCGATTCCTCCGGCTCAAGCAAAGAAGCCGTAGTATGTGGAGTGTACTCCTGAGCATCTTGCGCACAGATACAAGCGCCCAGCGCCTTGCGGAGAGAAACTTGCACAGAGCAACGTGCACAGAACAGCTTGAAGACAGATGTCGAGCCACTTGCGTGCAGCAGCTTGCAGAGAGCAACTTGCGCACAGCAGCCTGGAACAATGCCTCTCGTAGGACGATGAGATGGAGCTCTAGTGAGTTTCTTGTTTGGAAGAGACGAATTGAGCAGCGCCCAGATCCCATTGACTTTGGATTCTACCAACATATGGCCTTCCTGTATCCCCGCCCGGGAACCACGAAGAAGAACCAACATGCCGAGTCGCAAATGGCTCCAGCCCTGCAGCTGAAGATGTGAGGATTCATCAGAAAGGCTGCCAGGCTATGTTAAAACTAGAGGACGGTTGGCCCAAACGCATTTTTTCCCAAGTGCTCTTCCAGCCGCGGAGACACCTTTTTACATCGATGCGGCGAGCGTGTCTGCGCGCGGCGATGCTCAATGTGTATGGTCACATGGTGGAACAGAGTCAGACGAACACATGTTCCGTGCACCCTCCAATGTGGGCCAAGAATTGAAGAGCTTTGGTTTGCTTCCTGTGGGCTTTGAAACGTTGTGATATCATGGGGGCTGGGGGGGAGGGAGGTCGGGGAGGGAGCCCCAATAAGCCCCAAATAAGCCTTATTAGGGGTTCCCCTCCCCTCCCTCCCCCAGCCCCCATGATGATACCACTGGACGAGAACCATGGTCCACACCATGGTCAACGGGACGTATCAACCCGGCGGCCCCTGTGCGTTGAAGCCTAGCAGGGCGAACAGGGGTGTTCTACAGGGATCCGGACCACTTGGGCCAACATCTCCACCGAATTGAAACCGAGTGACGCCAATGACAGCTTGCTTGGGAATCCGTGGTTGGTGTTGGACTATGGGGTGCAAAACCAGCAACCTCTTCCAGTTTCAGTCCCGAGTCATGGACCTGGGGTAAGAAATCGGACGCCCTGTTTCGGACGGGTCAGTGAAAGCGAGTCCCGAGGTTTCCCAAATTCCACCCAAACTTCAAGCCAGGATGAAATCCACCTGTTGCCATCCAAGCTGACCTAAAAGGACGAAATGCCCCTTTGGAGTCCTAGTCCTGGGAGTACACCCCGCGTTCCCCCGAAAGAGACCGCGGCCAGATGTTGTCCTGACCCTGGCTCGCATGGCTGCCGAGGAGGACGTAGAGGAGGGCAGTGAGTTCGCGTGTCTTTTAGTGGAAGTTATACCAGGCACAACCATCCCAGCAAGGGCACGTCAAAAATATACATACCCTTGCGGGACATCTAGGGCTTGGGACCCGTGAGGTTGGCGTTTCTGAATTTGGTCTCACTCCCGGAGTTGGAGCTGAGCCAGTTATATGCCATTTCAGAGGCGCACATCCACGCAGGAAGTGAGTGCACGCAAATTGTTTTAAAGTTGGTTCCCCTTAGGTGGGTCAAAAGGGAAGCCAACATGGCCAAATTTGATGACAACACATTTGTTGTTTCCCCTTCACTTCAGCTGAAACGGGCCAAGAGGATGTGTGAGAGGTTATCGCTTTCCTTTTCAAAGCACCTTTCGCGGGTGCTCTTCAAACATGACACACCCAAGTTTTTGTGTCTCCTTCTTTGTTTCCCCTTTGATCAAGCCCCCGAAACCGTGTTTTGCGGCGCAAATCTGGTCGCAAAATCCACGCTGGGTCCATTGGGTTCCCTGTGTAAGATTGTGACATGGACACGTCAGGTACTCGTCTCTGCAACATCGAGCCTCCAGAAAGGGCTCCAAATTCGGGGTCCAGATGCGAGTTTTCCCATGGAGGCCGCTGGCCTGGAATGCGAGCTGCTTGGCCAGCGGGGCACCTCGGTGCGCGGAGTCGAGGGGCCTCTTGGGCTCTCAGAATGACTGGCGTTGTTTCTTGTCTTGTTTTGGGGTGGCGGGCGGGGGGGTGGGGGTGAGCACACGTTAAGTTTGGGTTGTGTTTTTGTTTAGACAAACATATATATATATATATAATGTGTGTTCGGTTTGGTTTATTTGAAGCAGCTGAATTGGGCGGTGATAGCGCTGGTTGCCATGCAAAAGAATCTGAGTTGAGAACTCTGAAACTAAAGATGCCCGATTCATGAACTAAGCAAGGCTGATTTAGCAACTAAACACGTTTTAGCAACTAAGATTCAGGAGCTACTGTACCTTCGCCCGATTTAGCAGCTACGATTCAACAGGGAAAAACGAGACAGGGTACTACGGTTCAGGACCTAAAACGGGTGGATTCCGGAACTACGATTCAGCAAGTAGACATGCCCGGTTCCGCAACTCTGACTCGGAAACTAAAAAGGCGCACCCCTCTGAGCAACGTCTAAAACCTCATGTCATATCGCTCCTTTGCGTGAGCGAACCTTCACGGGCGCAAGGTGGCGTAAATGGCGCGTAAGCATAGTGCGGTGTTTTTTGCAATCGTCATGTGTTCAGGTCCATGTGCTTCCTGGTGTATTTTGTGTACTGCACATGTACTGAAAAGTTGCGAGTTTCGAGCTGGACGTGCCGCAGCATACTTCTGTACTACAATTGCACTGACAGGTTGCATATTGTGAGCTGGAGCTGCCAATTTGTACTTCACGTACAGCACTTGCAAAGGAAACGCTGGCCCGTAAGCAGCCTTCCAAGTGATGGGCGCAGTGTTCCAGGCAGAAGGGTTGCCTGCAGCAAGTGATACGACATAGCGAGCCCTAGCACGTGTTGGGCATGGCTCAATTTAGACACGGGTGCCGGGGTGGGTGGATGAGTGAGGGTGTGAAGCTTGAGGCTGCAACTGCGAAGTTTCCGAGTTAGATCGGTGTGGTTTCCGACTCAGACCCTGCTAGATTCTGAGCAGTTCTTAGTTCCTGAATCAGGCCTTGGTATCAGGGTCAGGCCGGTTTAGTTTCCGAATTAGACCGTGCGAGGCTCCGAATGAAGTCATGCCTTTGAACAGAACCGTTACCATTGTCACCTACAAAAGCGGGTATTTGGAGGGGGTATGTTCGAATATGTCATATGTTGGATGGGCGGGTGAGTGCTTTCCATGAGCCAAGTCGCCGAGGTGGGGCTCCTTCGGTTGGTGGCTTCAGGTCTTTCTGGGCGCCGTGTGCCGGGACCCCGGGAGCACCATCCGCACACTGAACCAGACTGGACGCCCAGTAGTCCCCTTGCGCCTACCCTAAAAAAAGGGCAAGCAAAGTAGCCCCCAACAGCTGCTTTTTCCCATGTCAAAATCCCGAGTACTGTCCAAAAAGCAGTGGTTGGGGTGCTGGATTGGGTGGCGGGGGGCCAAGCACGAGGGCTTCCGCCGTCAATCGGGATAGCCACCTTTGGATCCCTGTCCATGTCATCAAAGGAGGTGTGGTATGGCCCCTCTTTGACAGGTGGATTCCCCTCTCCCAGCAGCATCAGGTCCTCTCCAGAATGGGTCCACTTTACATTGACATACACATTCAGAAGATGGAGCACAAGGTGGCCTTGGTATCGCTCAGGTGAAAACATTGCAAACTTCATCAATGTTTCTGTTTGGATGGGAATGAAAAACATCGTCATCACCACCACGATCGTCATCGTCAGCATCCTCCTCATCATCGTCATCCTCGTCATCATCATCATAATCATCGTCGTCGTCGTCCTCCTCATCCTCCTCATCCTCATCCTCATCATCATCATCATCATCATCATCATCATCATCATCATCATCATCATCATCATCATCAAGGTCAGCATCATCAAGGTCAGCATCATCAAGGTCAGCATCATCTCTCTCTCTCTCTCTCTCTCTAGTCTTTCTTTCCTTTCTCTCCCTCTCTCTCTCTCTCTCTCTCTTTCCTTCTCTCGTGTTTTCAACCAGAACCAAAAGCACACACCCAGTGGGAGACAAGCATCGTCCGGTGCTTGCCAGAGATAGCAAGCTTTCCAACTTGGCATTAAGTCGGAGTGCAATCAGGGCCCTTTCGATTCGGAATTCATCCATTTCCTGTATGAACAGTTCTCCTCCTCCTTGCTTTCTGTAGTTTTGTTTTGGGAGGGGGGGCACCTAAAATTTGCTTTGCCGTGCTGTTTGCGGATTCCGAAGGTTTTGCGGTTCTTTCTCAAAGATCTGATTGTCCGAATCCCGAGGCATGGCTTCCTTGATCGGGAAGAGGCGCAGCCCGGGTGGCCTCTTCCACCACCCCGGATAAGATGAGACAATGTTGACCCCGGATAAGTTAACCCCAAACCAGATACCCGTATATGGCCGTGGGTCAAAACCAATGATACCATTTTGGGGTAGGTGCACCACCCATTCTACTCGATTTCAGTCGGGATTGGGATGTTCACTGCATATATACGGGATTTTGACCCATGCCCATATTGGTAGATAGGGGCGTATTAGTCTGGTTGGCATTAAAGGGTCGGCTAGGGTATGCTGTCAACCTCTGACGGGGTACCCGCTACAATCCGGTCCACGGTAAACGCCTTTAAATTCGCCAGACTTGTTCAGAGGGTACGATGTCAACCCAGAACTCGAAAAGGGGAGATTTACCATGCAAAACCCGTTTCTTCAACTATGTCCGGAACAATGGGCGCCGCATAATTCATAGTTCTATTTTGTTTGTTCATTAAAAAAACATCGGAAGGGGGGGGGGTGGATGAGTTCGCCTTTTTCCCATACAATTTGGCACCCAGCACAATTTGGAGCCAATTCGAAGCGGGCTTCTCTTTGAGAATGTAGGGAGGCCCCCAACCCTTTTACCTGGGCCCCCCAATGGCTTTGTACCGGTCCAAGGCTGCAAAAAGCGGGATCGAGGTAGTTTCCCTTCAAACAAATTACCCAACAAGCGGAACGCCCCAAGGTTGAGGCGTACGCCACCGTTGTGTGGGAGTATGTCCTTTGTGTCCTGGTGGAGTTTGCCCCTCCTATAATTTAAGGGCATATGTTGAAACACCTGGGTTTCGCTGGCAAATACCTCATCTTTAAGTCAGTGGTTGGCATCATACCCCAGACAAAGCCGGTATTGGGCGTATGGGGGCCAGGACTCCAGCCAAACCGAGAGGCCAACAGCCACTGACTGATATCATCAGCGTCAATTTGGGCGTGGCTTAAACTCGTTGAAGAGCACCCCCGTATCGGACTTGACTCCAACACGAAGCCAACGATCACAAGTCAAGCTCAATGGGTAAACCGAGCGCGAGAATGTGCTGAAGGGACCTTTACTTCAGTGAACTCTCGTGCAGATTGTTGGCATTTTGGGGCCCCAGAATTTCGGACCCCAACAAGGGTGCCCTTGTTGGTTTCAGGGCACCTTTTAGGACCCTTTCGTGTTTTTTTGGGGGGGAATTTGTGGATGTCCAGGCTAAAAAGGACCCTTTGGGAGAACACAGCCTTTTGAGAACCTTTGATGCGAAGCAAACATCGAAACAACCTGGACCTTCATTTAAAATTTATGTAACAATGGAAGGTCCAGGAACCCACAGGGTTGGCCCACGAGGTTCACCGATAAAGTGCGGAGACCTTGGAAGGCCCGAGACCCAGGAAAGGGACGGGCAGCTGACAAAGCCTCTTGGGCCATGGGAAAGTTGGGTCAACACTACCTGGTTTAGTTGGGTTTGTACGCGCTAAACCTTGAAGAAATCATGGTAGAACCAAAAGTCAAAGGGTGTTCGGCGCTCAAATGAGGAGCCAGCAAAGCCGATTGGGGTGGATGAAGGGTAGCAAGGGACAGTCCCAACGATAAATATATCCGCCCTTTGAGTTAGTTGCACGGTTTTAGGTACGTCACTTTACCACCAGGTTTTGATTGTGACTCAAACGAGGTACTGACAACATTATTGTTGGTGTATTGTTGGCTTGGGGAGGATGAGAAGTGTGGGCCAACGATATTTTTTAGAAAACGCGGACGGGGGGGGGGGGAACCCAATGTCCCATTTCGGGAACACGTGGTTTTGTCCGGGGCTCAAGTTAAGTGAAATGGGAGGATTGATTGATCCAAACCTTGTTTTCAAGCATTGCGCGAGTCTGAGCAAATGAAATCGGGGCTCCCATTTGAGAGGAATCCTTTCTGCGATGGAGGTGACACATTGACCCGGTTTGATCGAACCCATGAAGAGCAGGCTGTCCCATATTCTGGGGATGCTAAACCACAGAGGCAATTTGCCAGGTTATAGGTTTGTGCATCCGTCTTTCGTGGGAAACCAGCTGTACACAGGCAGTTTGCCAGGTTTGCGAACCGCTTTTCGTGGGAAGCCAGACGTCTTTCCGCAGGGACCAGGGATTGAAGCTTCCTTTCTTGGGGTCCACTTGGGGTGCATGTTTTGAGTTGGTACCCCTTTCTTTTGCTTTGTTTTGAGGGAACATCAAAAGGACAACCATTTTGGGCCATTTTGTGGGGGGGCCCTAAAAAAGAACACCCATGTCTTGCTTCAGGTCGAGTGATGACGGGCCCCTTGATGATTCCCGTAGTGCCCCTCTTTCCGATTCGGGGGTTGTCAAACATATAGCCACCGTCAAACCTTTTGCCCAAGGTGCTACATGTTAAAGGGATCTCAAAAAGGGCCCCTGATGAGGCATAGCCATTTAGAACACGAGAGCTTGGCGCCCGTACCCTGTGCAAAGACAAAGTTGCCATAGGAATGGGAATTGCCCTTGGTGTCACGGAAATTGGGTTGTGACATCACTTGATCTATGGTCGTTGCATGTTCTCAGACATGTTTGGCCTTGTGTTTGGTAGCCCTCAACCGCATTTAGTTGTTTTGTTTTACTTTGCTGCCGGAACTAGCTAACCACCTTGCCCATTGAACTTTTGGCTGTACCAGCGCGTATACACATACGCACGCACACATTCACATTTGTGTATAATATATATATATATATATATATGAACATGTATGCGTGCACATGTCTGCATATGATGTATGGTTTGCGTGTGGAAATGAATGCATTGCATTGTGGCGAGTACGCGCGCCGAGGTGACCCTAGTGGGCGCTATTCAAAGGCCCCTTTTGCAGATCTGTAGCCTCTGAAACGTTTATTTGTTGTCCAAGTGCTTTCCCGCTGTGAGGTCCGAAGACTAACAGTCTTGAGCAAGTTTCGAATTGCGCAGTTCGAACCACTGCCCGCATCTGCTACTGTTCCGCGAGCGACTGCCTTCGAGTTTTCTGTCGGGCCACGCTCATGTTGTGGCGAGTCGTTTGCGTGCTGTCGCTTAGCGCTACGCAGCCTTCGTTACATAACCTTGTTTTTCGCTTTCCGGTCTCTTCGCCTGCCCGTGCAAACAAGCCCACATGGCGCTTGGCCGCTAGGACGCTAGGATGCTTCAAGAAAGGTTGGCGGGGCAGGATAAGCATAAGCAGTCCTGACTCTGGGCGAGAAAAGAATGCCGGCGCCGGAATCAGCGTGCTAGATGAGGCAGCAAACCCAGCAGCTAGGCGCTAATTACCTGCCAGACTTGTCTACTCCTATTGCGTTGGAGCTCATTGCTTCTGGTCTCAAGGTTGAGTTCGCCAGAGCCGGCGCCGGGCTCTCACCGACAGTTTGCAGGCCGGAAGCTGTCGCTTGCTTCAATTAGCACTGCGTCTGGGCTTGACTCCGTCACGTCCAGCGCTGCCTGGAGCTGCTTTTTCGTGGCTTCCCAGAGAGCCGGGGTAGCTGGCTGCTTGCCTGGGTTGTGTCTGGCTGCGGTCAGGTTATTGATACTACAAGTCAACAAGGGCCTAAATAGTTAGAATGGGCGTGCGAGGCACTTTCAAGCCATGGGTAGTCAAGGGCTAAGCTATTGGCAATTATTTAGGCCCTTATATTCTCCGATATTATTTGACTGCTCGATGTTTCACCTGAGGTATGGTTCTTTGACACAGCCAAGCAAGGCACGCAGGCGCGGACGCTCGCAATGGGCATTGCCAGCCAGTTGGGTGAGCGCTAGAAATTCCTGGCCCTCCTTTTTAACCAGAAAGCGGGGGAGGGGCCGTCACAATATCCATATTTCGATTTGGAGCTATCGGAGAGCAATAGCAGCCAAGTAGCTGTGAGTGACACTCGGCCACACGAGCAGAAAGGGCCTGAGTTTCTGTCTAAGTTGGGGTGTGATTTTTATCTGGGGATGGAGCTCACTCCCGCAGTTTCTGGACTGAGCGTACCTTTGGGAAGAGCTAGCGAATCCTCTCTCCTTTCAATCTCTACCACAAAACCAACGACCAAGAAACATGTGAAAGACATATTAGATAGAACAGATATAAAACAAATAGATCAAATTCAGAAAAGAAAAGAAGACAACACTGTGAGGGTATGCCAGAGCAGGCTAACTCCATTCGCTCTTCCATCTCTTATTCTCTGATCCCACCTCCGTCTATTTGAGGCTGGGAAATGGGGAAGAGTTGCCATTCCTCTCTCCCTGTGTCACCTTTTAGCTGTAGAATTCACGGCATGAGACAGAGAGGAACGAGAGACAGGCAAAGAACGTATTTTTTGTCTTGGACAAATAATTTCAGATTGAAACAAACTTGCTTTTTGTTCAGGTGTCCTGGTTGAACAGAACTCACCAGAAGGTAGGTCGAAAGCGCCTATGCCAGCTCCTCAGTCCCGCTAGTCACCCTTCCAACGGTTTCCTCCAGGCCTTGTCTTACTTTGGGAAGAAAAGACAAGGCGGGTTGGGATCCCAACAACATTTGTGCTTGCCTTTGTCAATGGTCCTGATGGAAATACATTTGGAGATCTGCCCTAGTCAACATCCCCACCTTTTGGGGTATATTTCGCCAAACCCTTCATTTCCATGGTAAATACCTCCCTTAGTCAGAGGTTAGCATACCCTCAAAAAGAGAGGGTTCGGAGCTTTCGAGTGGCGATTCGATGGCGAGGCACTGATGAATCACATCATCAATATCGGGCTGTCCATGGCTGGGAGCCCTGCTCGCTCGGGTCCTCCAAGCTTTTGGGTTGAAGTGGAAAAGGAGGATGTGTCTGGGGTCTCAGAAAACAAATGGGTGTCTCACTGCCTGAGTTCCTGGACTTTGGTCACTTTTTGGGTCTGGACCATTTTGGTGGCAAACAAGCGTGGTGTTATATGTTTAGGTTGAAGCAAGATGAACGGGGATAGGAGAAAAACTGCATGGTGCAGGCCAGAGTCCAGAGTTGAAGTTGGCAAGGCCAGTTTCTCTGATACCCATACCGTATCTTATTCCGAAGAACAAGAAGTGGGCATCACTCATCTGTCAAGGCATACCACAAGTTGTGATTGCCCTCGGCGGTGGAACCTGCCATCTGTTTATTTCAAGAGGAACATGCGGCGCTCCAGGAACCTCCAGCCATTTCTCCCTACCAGTTACCAACCCATCGGGTTTTCGGATCAACCCCAGGCGTGATTGATCCCCCTCGCGGGGTTTCAGCATCCACTCTGCTTGTCTGATCCCCAATACTCTTCTTGAATACGTCTTAAGATTTGCGTAGTATCTTTAGATATAGGTATATGATGTTTAATCGGGTAGACATCATTGACATCATGTATGCAATTTGCCAACCAGTTTGGAGGGTGTTCCCTATGAGTAGCCAAATATGGACCCTTATTTGGGGTGATGCTTACAGACATAGCGGCACCCACCCTTTGTGCGTTTGAATGTCAGTTCATGTCCCTCGCGCAGTTCTGGGTGGAAGGATCGATTTTTCACCTGAACTATGTCAGGTTTGAAGTAGTTTCCCTGACCTTTCGCATCGTTCGACTTTGCGTCTATTGCAGAGAATGGCCACAGAGTCGGGGCAAGACTTGCTCACCATCAATGCTTTTTGGACGCTAAGGGCTTCGGCGAGTGGCTGGCAGTGGAGGCTGATCCGTGCAATTGGCCAGCAGCTCAGTGGGGATTTTCTTGACCTCCCCAAAGCTGGCTCGACACCGTTGAAACTGAGTTCCCAGACTTGATACTTTTTGGGTCTGGACCATGGTGGTGGCAAGCAAAAAGGTGGGCGTTTTGGTTTGGCCGATCCACTCGGGAAGTGAGAGGGTGTCTGACCGTTTGCATGGGTTTTCTTCAGAAAAGAGGAGGCACCTATTGGCATCTGGGGGGGGGGCTACATCCACCTCATCAGCTAAGGTTCTCGGATATGGTGATTTTGGAAGTAGCCCAAATGTATCCTTTAAGGGGACCTGGGATCCTAAATTCTCAGGGTTTCTGTATTGCACCTTGGGACGCACCTGGGAAACCAAAATGGCTCAACAGAACAGGGTTGATTTGGAAGTATTTCAGAAGGGTCATTCCCCAGTGAGTGTGCAGACAACCTTAAAAGGATGTGTTGGTCGCGAGGCGAAATAATCATCACTCCTGACTGATTCCGCGGGATCTACGCGAGCCTGGACAGGGGTTCAATTGCCAACGCTGACAAGGCAGTTCCTCAGCCGGATGGTGCTGTTTGAGGAAGGCCTGATTCTCACCACGGCGGCGCAAAACACATTCACGGGGCAAGTGCTGAAGTTTCTCAGCCAGCTGCGCATGTTGTACTTCAAGAAGGCGTTGGTGCTTTCCTTGGACGCGCTGGACCATGACGATGACCTAGTGCTGCCTTTGAACAGATGGCATTTCACTCCCTGCTGATGCACATGGAAACCCTGATGGTTTTTGGAAACTTCTTTTGGGAGAAAACTTTTTTGGGGTTTCACGTTCATTTGTGGGGAGTAGATCCAACTCAGCGATAAGTATCCTTTATCCCCTCAGTCAGGGACGAGTGGAACCGACCATACTTGTAGATTGCTCTCGGAGTTCAACTTGTGCATACTTTTCTGCGGTTTGCAGCATCAGTTTTTACTTTAGGGTCAACTGAATACGAAACAGAATCTGAAGATACCATTTTGTGTCTAGCCCAGATTTGGGCCAAGTCTTGATCAATGGGTACTATGCGTCTGAACGTCTCAACGCTAGGGACCTCCTGGTCATTGTTTTCCATTCGGTTTCCCACCAATCAACCTGGAGCCCCTGAGACTCAAGCTGGCCCTGGTGGACCCCAAGCCCCATGTGACCATGTGTAGCTGATGCGGCGGCGACCTCGCTCCGATCCGAGTAAAAAGGGGATCGCTTCATTTCAGGTCTTGGAAGGATTGTAAAATGCTGTCATGCTTGTGGACAACTGGGTCTTAGGCCCATGTTCCCTTGCTACGAGTCAGAATCCCCTCAAGGACAAAGTAGATACATGGCTCACTTTGGTATCACAGAGAGGGCTCTCGCACGGTTTGTCAGGCCACTTCGGATTCCGTTCAGAAAGTGACCTGAAAACCCGATGGGAAAATCGGGGCTGTCGAAATCAGATTCGGAATGGGTGCGGCACCCGGCTGGGGCAGGTATTGGATCAACATGTCTCTGGACTGCACCTTAGGTGCCAACCTCAGAAACGTGGGTCAGCTTAAAGGCCGAAAACAGCCTGCTTGATGCTTGAGGGCTGTTCAAGAACGCTTTGGGGCTGGTTTAACGACAGCCAAAGGGAAACCAAAGCCCATGAAGAGGGTTCCATGTCCCATTTGAGTGGTGCTCAAATGGAGGATGCATTTGTTATGGGACCCTGTCGCGGCTCCCTTGTTAAAAGAATCTACGCACGACGATCCAAAGTTAGGGCTCTTTCGTTTTCAAGAATTGCCGACAGCTTCCAATTTGAAATGGCGAGCACGAGGGCACCTGCTTTTGCAAAATGCTTGGACGGTGAACGATTTTTGTCTGCCAACAGTCTGATCAATATGTCTTTCACAAACTCCCTCCATTCTTTGAAAACAAAATCAAACCCCACACAACTGGGATGCCTGACCCCCAATTTGGGATGCCATGTCCCTTGTTGGCCACATGTTGCATGCTTGTTTCAGGCTGCATGCGCAAGTCTACACTTAATGCTTGATGGGCTGATTCTAGCGATGATATGCATGCCAGTTTGGGCTCCTTTCGTCCCTATGTCCAAGGTACCACCATCCAAACCTTTTTATGACTGGGTACGCAAAGTCTAGCTTGGCATGTGTCCATGAGAGACGGCCCACGTCCGTCAAAGTGACAAGCTCAAAAGTACCCTGGTGGTTTAAAGGGAAACAACCCCCAAAACAAGTTGGAGAATGGAGAACCCCTCGGAGTGTTACCGCCTCTAAATACCTGGACCCTTGCATTTCAGAGGTACAATCGGCTCAGAAACATTGCAGGGGACCGTTTCTTGCTCAGGAACCAAATCGACTGGGATTGCTGGGAAACCATTGGAATTCCAAGGAACCGTGGCACGAGTCTGCGCGACAAGAGTCTGGAGTCCCACCACACCTTCTGGACTGTCCTTCAGGGCTTCTCACGCTCTTCGTGATGGAAGGAGTAAGTCGTTGCGATAGGTAACCACCTAGAAGGGAATGACGCAGGAGCAAAACAAGTGGCCCGTCCTCTTGCTCTGGTTTGCAGTCCCTCAGCGGGTGGTCTTCAGACATTTCCCGACGGCCGGGAATTGAAACTAGCGCAGAGTGTCAAATGTGTGCTTTGTCGAGCTCGCATCAGGAAGGGTGGCACTGTGGGTTGAAAGCACTGAGTTTCCTCACAGGTCATTTGTTGACACTTTGGTGAGTATCCCATTTGGGGGGTCGCGTTCCTATGCTCATGGGCCTCCAGGTGGGCTAGGGGGACCCCTGGACAAGCCTAGGATAAGCTAAGGGTACACCACTAAGACCTGAAGGGTTTAAGAGGCCATAGACCTCCTGCCAGTTCATCCCTGGAGGCCCTTACACATCTTATAATCTTTCAACCATTTTGGTTGAGTCGATTTTTGTTTGGGTTTTGCTGGCTGAGACAAAAACCAGCTGTTCCATGTCTTGGGAATATAACATGCTATTCTCACAGGTTTTGGCTCAGTCACTGTTGGATGCCCGTTCCCACGCTCCAACTTCGGTTTGCGGGAGAGGTGTGGGCCTCATGTTCCTGCTCTTGCGGTCGCTGCGCGGGTCTGAATGGGGGATGGGGGGGATGTGGCTGACAAGTTTCAGTTGATATGATCACGTGATTGTTCTGTTTTTTTTGTTTTTTTTCCACGCAGACAACAGATATTGACCTCAAACTGGGGGGGGAGCAACCTATGTATGTATGGGGTTGTTGTACATGAGGGGAAAGAAGGGGTGTAGTGAGATACGGGTTCTATATTGGGCACGCAGCCTGTTTTACGGATGCTCAGGGTGCTTGGTTTTGTTGTTGGGCCTTTCGGATCCTGCACCCTTAACCTTGGGTATGCAGCATGGCAGCATGTGGGTCTGTCTCAAACCTCAGGTTGATCCGCCGGTTAGCCTGTTGTAATCCTAGTGGGGGCTGCTGATTGGTATTTGTTCTATTCCTCGGACCATCTAAGTCGAAGTAGGCTCACTTGATTGGGCACGGCTGTGAAAAAACACGTCCCATGCGCAGCTTGCAAGAGGGAAGGTTCCTGGTGCCAAGCCCGGAGTGATGTTACCCACAGTTAGTGACACTACTGTGGGCCGACAAAATCCACTACCTGATACCCAAACTGGGATAAACCGCCTGCTGACTGGTGCAGGAATTGTACATCCAGAATAGGTGGGGGTGCAAGCTTGTTGTTTGGAGCACCCGTCGCTCTCTTTACATGGTATATTAAGCCCCCCTTCATTTAACCAGGGCGATGAGTTGTGTGGCTCAAGGCAGATCGCGTGAACCTGCGTGATCCAGATCATGTTCAGGTGCGTATGTTGGATTTGCATTATTAAAAGGGAACCCTGATTAGTACGCTTCTGATTAATACCTCCAGAACAGAGGGACTAAGTGGTAAAGGGAATCGGTGGGATAAGATGATGACCAACAAGAAGGGGCTCATACCTGGGGTTACCGTTGGGTTTGACTTTTCCCTGAACCTATCAGAGTTGGGTATGTTCAACTGCTCAAAACTGGGTGGTCTGGCGACTTTCCTGCGTTTGTCATGGTTGCATTTCAGGGCCCCAAAACTGGCTGCGCACGAAAGCTGGCTTGCTAGCTGGAGTCTCTCTTGCTTTAGCAAGTAGGGAATCCCACAACTTTGTGATACAAACGTGTTTTCGCGCGCTGGCTGCGTCCAACAAATTGGCTTTGGAGGATGACGTTCTTCCTTACGGGCGCCTGCGAATTGCACCCCCCCCCCTTCGGATTTCCCTCTTGCTCTTCGCTCCGCTCTTCTTCCTGCTCTTCTTCCCACCATATCTCTCTTTGCTCTTCTGCCCACTCTTCGCTGCGTTCTTTCTTCCCAATCTTCGCTCTGTTCTTCCCAGCTCTTCGGTCTGCTCTTCTCTCCGCTCTTCCCACTCTCCTCGCCGGCCTTCGCTCCGCTCTTTCCTCCATTCTGTCCAAGCTCTTAGCACTTGCATGCGCTCTGATTGCACGCTGCCGTGTGTTTCGCGCCTTGTTGCTCGAAATCGCTTTTCGCCCGGAAAAAAAAGGCCTGTTCGAGCGCTTTGGCTGTTGTTTGTTCTTTCTCATGAAGTTCCTCCCTTGTCAACCCCTAAAAGTGAGCTGGGCGGCGCCCTTGCGCAGACGCAGCTTACGTTTGCTTGCCCTGGCCTCAAGTTGTCTCATTGATGTCCTGTTTGTAGCTGGAAAACCCGCGTCTACATTTTAGATGCCCCTGGGATTCCACCAAGTATCATTGCCGGACTTGACTTACCTCGTCAGCTCCTTTGTTAAACATCATTCTACCTTTCGAATATCTTCCAATTAGCAAAAGGTCGATCTTTCCTCGCAGGGGGTCTAAGTCTGGTCAAGGTCAAGTCTAGGCGCAAAGAGCCGCACTTTCCCCTTGGAATCCACGGCATCAGCATCCCTGGGAATCGGTCTGAGCGTCTGACTCAGGCAGTGTGCCTACCGCAAGTGCCTGGCGCGGCCCGAGCTCGCCAGGCGGACGAAGGGATGGGTCCTTTTCGGCCCACTTCCTGTAGGGCTCCCTGTGAAACCTGGTTGGGTTCAGTTTCAAACCTCACCTTTTTGGCCAGTTTAAATTGAGCTTCCCTCCTGCTCTGTGATCTAGCAAACCTGTAACGTGCCCCTTTTCGCGCGATGCAAGCATCCCTTTGGGGAAAGGCCGTGTAACGTGAGTTTCCTGGGTTGTGTTTAAGGGGGAAACATGGGAAGCTGGGAACCCTCGGATTAAAAAATGCCTTTAAGGGGATGTCGTTCAAGGCAACTTTGAGCTGAAAGATTGGTTCAAATCTTCAGAAGGCCCTTTGGGGCCTTGTTCGGCTGGTTTAACCGAAGACGATGGGAGTTCCAATTCCGAGGCTGGTCAACATGGGGATGTGTGTTAACAAAACCTTTTGTTTCACCATCTTATTTGAAACAACCCGATGGCACTGGCTCCAGCTTTTTTCAAGTCCACCGTCAATGGTTTTAATTTGGGACACCTAGGTTCATGGCGCGGGTCCACAGTCTCAGCCGGAGTCAGAGCTAGAACCTGCAAGGAGTCTATCCAAAATCATTTCTCTGGGCAAAGTGCAGCCAGCCTTTTGGGAAAAGACCGAGCCCACCCTGCAGCTTTCGTTTTTTTTCTTTTTTTCTCCCCTTTTTTCACATTTTTTTAAATCCCCGGTTTGTGAAGTATCGATTTTGATTGCTGGATGTGAGGATTCAACAGGGCGATCGCGCTGTGGTTGGGGGGGCTGCCCTTTGTTTAGCTGGCTTTCATTCCTGAGCTGAGCTTTGGTTCTTCGCGGTGGGGCTGGGCACCAGAGCAGGGTTGCGGGAAGAAGTGGATGTTTCCAACGTTTGTGATAGCAGGAACATGCGCTTGGTCAGTGTCATGTCTACATGCAATCCGTCACCAGTTGGTATGGATCAAACTCTATAGTCTATAAATATAACTCTCCTACCAATTGGTGACTATGGATTTTCCAACTCCGTGCCAGTTTGGCCTTCGCCAGGTGCGGTCACTATGGAGACCCACCCGATTTCAAGATCTTCCTGCGGCAGCTGCTAGATTGGCAGGCCGTCGTAAGCCGCTTCCAGTTTCGGAGGGTCACCCTACTGGAAGGGAAAACCAGCATTTGGGGGTCCCCCTATAAATGTGACAGAGTTGATCCATGGTTGATAAGCGATCCCCAAATCCGGCCCCTTTTTTCTCTTTGCACGGCTGTGGGAGGAGGGGCGGTGGCCGATTCATTATTCCCCCGCCGTCATTGGTTTGGTGTGACAGTTTGGAGTAACCAGATATCTAATCCACCAGCTAAGGGCAAGGTGATCCCTACATCGGGATGATGTTAACGGAAGGGTTTTGAGTGAGTCCCTTTTCTGTGAGCCCTATAGCTGCCCTATTATAGCTGTGACAGCCACGTGGAAATACGTAGCTGCCTGAACTTGTTGCATGGTTGAACAGAACTGCCTTATGGGGAACATAGCTGCATGGTTGTGAAACAAGTCAGGTTTGTGGTGTCCATTTTCTGAGATACCCCGAATACCCCCAGGAAAATGCAAATGAAGTGGGAATCCCATTTCGGTATCACAGAAAGGGGCGTCCATTTCATTTTCCAGACGACACATGTGGATTGCATCGGCATTGCAAAGGCCTTTGCCGCGAATTGTCTGGCTCACAGCTGGTGGTTTTCTAGAGCGCGCTCTAGGGAGGCGCTTGAGGCAGGCAGATGGGGCCGGGTGCTGCTCTTAAAGTCTCGTGCTGTGGCAAATCTTGAGACTCGTTTGATACCAGGGTTGGGCAAATTTGGTGTTGACAACCATTCCCTAGTCCAATGTCTTTGAGTTCCAGTGGTTGAAACTATTTTAAACAGGGACATGGTTAGACCATTGATCATTTCCACGCGGAGCCAACCCATGAGGGAGTCCAACTGCTCGCTTGATTTCGCGTGGCCGACAGTTCTTCGTTACCCAAAGACTAGTTCGATGGCCAGTCTTATCCGAAAGCAAAAGCACAGACTCTTGCCCTTCCGAGAAGCGTGGAACTGCGCCTCTTGGCATCTCCGGAGGGTTCCAGGGCGGTGGGGATGTTGGCTGGAGAATTAACCATTGGGCTCAGTGGCTCAGCACTCTTTCCCCAAGCTACAGCTCGCCCTGGAGCGAAAAGTTTGCAGTGCTCACAGAATGCCTCATTACTCTTTTCAGTCGTGTAAAAAACCATCCGGCAAACAAAACTAGCCAAGCCGAAACGTGGCGTTTTCACAATGTTTCATCCTGAAAGACTAAGAGACCCACAAGGCTTGCGCATTTGCAACCGGTTTCGTGGCTTTCCCTCGGGGCCAAACTACCAATTTGTGCTCTCGGAATGGAGCTGCGAGCAACAAACAGGGCGTGTTTTTTTCGAGGTACCAACAGGTTGGTTTAAAGGGAAACCAAGGGGACAGCCACCATTTCTGCGTCGATTTTTGGAGGGTGCGCTTTTCAGCTTGGTTTAAAGGGAAGCCAGAAGGAAAGCCCACCTTCTTAGGGGCCCCCCGCTTCTTGGCACACACTCATTTTGGGTCCAAATCCCTGTTTTGACACCTTGCAAAATCGCCAGGTGGCCAGTTGCGATGAGCCACTACGCGGCTTGCCCGAACAGCGTTTGGGGGCGGCGCTCACCCTGCGTGCCATGGTCAAAGACCCTCTTGAGGTTGGTAACTAATGGTTCTGGTTGAGGGAGCCATGACGATGACCCACAGAATACTTTTTTTGAGTAGGTTTGGCCGGCTCTCATGCAGTCGAACCTTCCCCGAATGACCACCTCTGGATGAGCTTGAAGATATCTCAACATGACTTGGCTCAGTTATATCTTGGGTTTTGTTGGACATGTTGCTGTAAAAAGTCAAACCAACGGCATGGCCACGGTCCTGCGGAAAGGAAAGCAGAGGACTGCTTGTTTGTTCTGCTTATCGTCATAAGCAATCCGAAGCACCTTGCGACGCATGCGGGAGCTGCGTTTTGAGATTGCCACTTTTTGTGCTACCCTTCGGGAGTTTGTTGAAGTGATCAAATGATGCGGATGGGAAGTGGCCCCGGGGATCAGTACGTTTCGACTCCCCATCGGCTGAATGATGAAGCTCTGCTAAATTTGGTTTGTGAATAGTACTTCGCCCGGATCCGTTGGACATCATTACGCCCATGAAACATCTTGGAGGGTGTTCCAATTGAAGCTCAGTTTGCCGCATGAGGCCCCTTCAAAACAGCACAGGCTAGGGGACTCAGTCATTTTCCCACGTCCTCGAGGGCAAACAAAGCCATATCATTGTAAATGTTGCACGTTGCCTTCCTGGACCATGCTAAGAGCCACAAGAGCAATGCGGGCTTGAGCAAAATGATGCCAGGGCTGGGCTGAGCAGTCTGGTGGGCTGCAGCGCAGGGTGATTGCCAGAAGCTTGAACTCGAGCGGCGGTGGCCGGCCAACCAGCTGGCTGGAAGCTGGACACTGCAAGCTTGGCAGGGGCTTGTGGGCTGAGACTGAGTCAGCGGAAACAAGCCCTCAGAGAACGTTGCCTGAGTCTGGGGGCGAGCTGGGGCTAGGTAAAGGGACGCCAGAGAGGGCGCCGACTTGTTTTGGTTGGGGCCCAAGTCCCGTTCGCAACATACAGCTCCGCGTGCCTTGGCGCTCGAGGTGCGTTTTCCCAATGTGTCCTTCGAGCCTGTGGAACTTCAGGTTGGGCGCGGAGCCCCTGATCGGATCGAGCCAGCGGCGCCTGGTTTTCAGCGCTTCTGCGCCCGCCAAAAATATCTTTGTTCACCCCGGCGTTTTGAGGCTGAAAAGCTGGCGCTGTACAGTTCCTTTAATCTGTTTGACAAGTGTACCTTCGTTGGTTTCTGAGCCTCGCGGGATCCCCTGGGAGCCCGTCAGAAGTCGTTTGGGCTGGCGTTACGCTGCGAGAGCTCGCCCTGGTTCCCTCAACAGTGATAGAGTATTGAAGATGTTACGTATTGGTTGGAGCTCTTTGTGCCGCATCTCGCTGGTTCAATAGACATGTGCGGATTTGTTTGTATGCAACATATCAAGATACATGACTCAGCGGTTCGCATCTATACCCTTAGGCTCTTAGATGTTTAGACTGTCAGCCTGAGGGATTTATTGCACGTATCCATCATATCCCACTAAGAGTGCAACTTCTTAGCAAGGGAATCAACCGCTGGCGGCTCTTCTGGACGGTCGAGTTGCGTTGGATAGGGAAAAACAGTCGGCTTGAACGCTCATTGCTTCGGAAGGGCTCAGGCTAAAACCGTCGTGAGTGAATCGCCCAAGTGTTGTCCTTTTGCTCCTTCTTGTCAAACTGTATGGGCTTCCTTTTGTGCAAATAGTTGATTCCTCTTGAAGTTCTAAAGAGAGAAGTGGTCAACCCGGAAATGTGATCACGGGACGCTGTCGCAAGTTCTCTTTTGAGGGGGCTCTCTTTCCAGTCCCTCAATTTCCCTTTTGGGGCTCCAAATCTGGCAGTCTCAGTGGCACCCACCTGTGAATTGCAACTTTTGAAGGGGAAAGCTAGCAATCCCTGAAATCCCTGCCTCATGTCATCTCTGGGCAGGGAGATCAAAGTTAGTTGCCTACGATGGAGTCGGGGTTCACAAAGCATTTGGCACCCGGCTGGAATAGACCATGGCGCAGCTTGAGGGACCCTGTGGGGGTTCTAACCTGGCTGGTTTGTGGGGACGAGACAATAAGCAAGGATTGTCTAAATAGACCACAAAACAACGAGCGAACCGGCGCATGCACGAGCCAGCAACTGCGTTGCACTTTCTTCCCCAAAGTGGGCAATGCATTACTTTTGACATCGGTATGAGACTAACAATCATTCACCCTCCCTGCTTGGAGAGGGGTCCTGGACAGACCGTTTTCTTAGGTTAGGCGAGGTCTTCAGAAGCGTTACGCCCAGCTTCCTTCGGAAAGAGGAGGCGATCGGGAGGGACGGCGAGAGGTGCTCAGTTTGGCTGAACATCTTTGATTGGAAGCCAGTTTGGTTAACATAGGAAACCAGGTTGGTGCAATATTCGGGATGGACAATCTGTTCATTTCGGATGTCCATTTGCCAAAATCCCATCCAATGTGTCCAAAACGAAGCCTGCCGAAGCGCGGCCAAACGGTTGAGCTTGATTCGGGCTTACAACGGCGGCGCCATGTGGCTCTTTCATAATTTCCGGATTTGTCCATGGCCCAGTTGGAAGGGACAAGCAGGGGGACTCGCTGAACTTTCAGCCCAGGGGACTCGCTCCATTTCCCATGTCCTGTTGAAAGAAGCAAAATTGACAGGCTTACATGGTCGTGATTATAATATGTTCTTGTAAAGTATAACCAATCATGTACATATGTCCGAGTGAGTTGTTTGATTCTGAAGCAAGCGGTTCACTTAGATAGCCAGCGACGATGCCGATGAATCCAGACTGTTAACAAAGGACTGGTCGTACAAGTAAGACACTGGAAAGGATGCTTGAAGTACCCGCAGTTTGTGCTTGATTCACTTATTTGCGTTGTGGGGCTACCGGGCGCGAAAAACATGACTCCGCACTTTGGCGAGTGAGGGCCGTTGGCAGAGTCTGCAACAGTTATTTTCGTTGTCCCAGGCGAGATGACCAAACCAGGCCAAGCGCAGAACATTGGAGTTTCCTTTGGTTTACCTTGGCCAAGGGATCGGAGCAACTCTGAGCGGGAAGCCCATTCGAAGGTCAGGTCCATGATGGCCTGTCGAACCCGAAAGGGCAATTTTCGTCAAAACAAAAGACCCACCCATGTCTCGAACTTGCTGACCTCTCCCAGTGGTTTTTCTTTTGGACCGTTTGATCTTTTGACTGAGCTTGTCATGGCAAAACCGAGCCTCGGGTCTTCTGTGGAAAGCCAGACTATGGAATCTCCGTGGCGGTTTTCGGATGTCGATTTCACCATAAGCTGGCTTAAGAAGTTCCCCATTCTGCGACATGCTATGTGGTCGGGTTCAGTGACGGAGTCCGCCAGACCTCAGGAGGAGGATGACTTTTTCGCAGCCTGCTGTCCAAGAATCACTTGGCGGCAACGAATCCTGGGACTGAGCCTCGGGTGAGTTTCGGTCAAACAAGCAATAGTCTATGCTTCATTTTGGAGGGACATGGAGCCACCCCTTTTTTACCAGAACCGCCACACAACTCACTAATGTTCCCAGAAGCAAGTGAGCTCTAGGTGTTTCGAACCGGCTGAGCAGAGGACATCCTGAGGGTCAGGGCCTACCCACTAGCGCGGGTTGGTGAATTCGTACCGGAGTGGTTGGTTTGCTTCGGCCATATGGGCAGCTACAGTCAGTCAAAACGATTGAAATCGAGGCTTTTACTTGTCCCCACTCAGATTCTTGATGCAGTCGCGCTCAGCGGGCTTCAGAGTAAGCCTGAATTTGGGGATTCTTTGCAATTAGCAAACCGGGGTTCCTTGGGTTTATTTTCCCCCAAAGAATGTCTTTTGAAACGTCGGTTGGCTGCAGGCTTTCACGTGAGCTCCGTTTGTTTGGTGATTGGACTCGTGGGGGTGTCTTTTTGTCGAGGGTACCTTTTTGGGGGTGGTTTAAAAGGAACCAACAGGATGCATCCATTAAAGGGTTCCCCATTTAGAAAATAACCCGTCGGTCCAAAAATAGGTAAACAATGGAACCCTGCATGGAAAGTAACTGAAACCAGCCCTCCGGTGGTTTGTTTCTGACCCATACACATTTGGACCCATACACGATCCCAAATGCGATGCAAGCCACGCCCGGAGCTTCGTGAGGTTGGCTTGCGTGCTTCTGCCGGCGCCCCCAGCTTCCGAGACGTGGCCCCTTGAAGCGGTCGCATCTCATGAGGAGTTTGCGGAAGTGGGTGGTTTCCAAGCATTTGGTTGCGACATACATATATATGTACCAGTCCCTGGGCCACGTACCCCCCCCCCCCCCCAATGGTATGGTCCCCCCACTCCCCCGCATCATCCGCATCTTGGGGATGATGCTGGCAGTGCTGGGGATGCTGTCCAGTACTGTGTGAGCCCTGCAGCTTCGGTCCCAGACTCCCCCTTTCACCCCGTGAACCAACACCCCCGCACCTCTCGCAACATCCTACCCTAAACCAAACCACCCTGCAACCCCTCCTTAACCCAACCCTAAGCCTAAATCAACCCAAACCCCAAACCCACCCGAAACCCACCACAAACCAACCCTGAACCAACCCTGAACCAACCCTAAACCAACCCACCAAGCCTAAACCAACTCCGAACCACACCCCAACCACCCAACCACCCCACCACCCCACCACCCCACCACCCACCCCACCCCCACAGGGGGGGGGGTTGGGGGGGGGGAGGGGGGGGGGTCCACGGCCTGGAACATATATACATATATATATATATACACATACATATATATATATATATATACATATATATACATACATGATCGGGTGTTTATAGACAGCCCAATTGTTTCCATCTCGGTCATTTTTTGAGGATGTTGCTTTGGATCCACAGGGCAAGACTTCGACCAACAATGGAAGCTGACAGAAAGGGCTGGCTGCTTTCCTGTGGAGAATATGGGTCAGGAAGGTATGATGAGTTGGTGCAATGTTTGCCTCCACATGGGCAACCCTCTTTTGCAGGATCGCCTAGCGCATACATGTGGTTGTGAGCTCATTTCAGAGGGTTCCTCGTGAAGCATGTGATTTTGAGATGCATGGTAGGGGGAATTCCTGACTTTTTAGCTTCTTTTAGGTTTCCTTGATGTGTTATTTTCCTTTATGCAGCAACAAAGTCACTTGTTGCCAGGTTTCTAAGTCTGGCCAAGAAAATGGGCACGCCCTTTTGAATAGGTTTCGAAAAGCCAATCGCGAGTTGGGGGTTCCGAACGGGTTCTAAACGGGCTCCAAGCTCGGCCGAGTTTCAGGCTCTACCATTCCAACTTGATTTCAAGTGTCATAAAGAATCCTTGGCCATCAAACCATTTGATGAACCTTCCTCTCCACCAACCACTTTTGATCCCAATGAAAGCAGCCGCTTCCTGGACCCCCCCCCAAGTCCCCCCGAATTTGGAGCCCACCACCGACCCACGGCCAGAAAGGGGTCCGTTGGCGCTTCGATCTGAGGCCTGGGGCTGTTGCTGCAAGCCTCGAGCTTCGGGTCGCTGCCGCAGGGCGGCAAAATCTGTCCCCCCCGCCCCAAACCAAAGGGGGAAGGGGCGGGGGGAGGGGTTTGGGTTAAGGTCTGCTGAAAATGAGCGTTTCACTTTGTGGAGCTTCCTTCATATTCTTGTAGGGCTCGTTTCAGACAAATGTATGGAAAGTGGTTTTCCAGGCAAGGATACTTTTCTACTGGCATGGGTTGGTCGTCTTCAATGGGACCCCCACCCCCAAACAGCTGGGCTTGCTTTCTTTCAGGTACCCTGCAAACAAGACACGAAGGCATGGGACTTGGGCGAGTAAACCCACTTCCCCCATGAGAGATTTTGCCTTAGCTTATCTGAAAACTTGAGTGTCGGTACGCCCGTCGTGTTTCTTCCCTCCTGTTATCCCCCTTCGGCAAGCGGTGGTGAAGCGCATGTATTGGCATTGCTGAAAGTCGCATTGGAAGAGAGGAATCCAACCACAAAACATGGACCTCACTCTTGATAGTTGGGTTTTTAATCAGAGGTCAACATGAGCAAATTAATCTTTCAGTCCTTTGCTGCCTTTTTTGGGGGAATTTGATCATTCCTTCAGAGGATCTCATTTGCACACTTTGTTGTTGGGGGGGGGATGCGCTTCTTTTTTTTCCAGTAGGGGGTCAGATCTGGCCCTTGGCCAAGTGGTTGTCGCTTGGTTCTAGGGTTTGTCGCTTGCGAAGCGCCCAAAGCAACTTGGTTTAAAGTGCCTTACTCCTCGGTGGGATGGCTGGGGCTCCAAAACAATCTGCCGCCCATGTCCATCCCCAGCGTGCAGAGATTTTTTTTAATAAAATTTATGGAAGCCGACCATCGGATGGGTTTGGGCACTTTCCCTAAGCTTGAGCTACACCCGGATGGGAAGAGGGGCTCGTCAGCTATCAGAAGCCCCTTCGGCACGGCATGTGATGTTTGTCCTGCATGCTTCCCTTTACAGGGGCACGAAGCGGTTCACCTGTTCACCTTGGTCCAAAAGGGGCCACGACAAACCCAAATGTTGTGAGGTTTGTTGGACATATCCAAGGAGCACTGTGCTGGTTTGCCACTGGAAGCGCAGTGAGAAGTTTGCTTGAGCAAGTCTTGTTGGGCTGCCTTTTTCTCTGGACCTTGCCACGTCTTCAACAGTCGAACTGATTCAAGCCGCTTCAAACAAGGTTCTCTTGCCTTTTTGATCCCTCAAAAGAGCACATGGGATGTTCAGGGGTTCCATACAAGCAGTCAAGGGAATGGCACTGGGCATACTCGTCAAATTGGGAAACTCCCCAAAATAGTGCTCTAAAACCGAGCCACACCCAGTGACAACAGCGTGGGATTCTCTTCTCAAAGAGGTTGTCACTTTACTCAGTATTCCTGAAGAATGGTTGATAAAGAAAAACAAAACATATCAAGTCAAGTGGGACACCCGTTGCAGATCAACCACGGGTCAACCAAAGCACCCTCGGATCCTTGGAGACAAATGCAAACCCATGTTCACCTTCGCGCTTGAGGACGCGGGCGCTCTTCGGGCACCCGGGGAGGTTTGCCTTGATGTACACCCTAGGGCCAGGAACTCAGGACTCCGAGACTCCGACGCGAGTTCCCCTGTGTCTCACCTGCGCCCAAAACCGATTCCAGCGGCCATGGTGGGATATACGTCCTTGTTTCATTTGTTTCATGGGGTGGACAGGAGGCCTCCGGAGAAAGAGTCAATCTTGGGCATTTGGAACTTCTGTCGGAACCCTGTGGGTTGACCTTTTGGCGAAATGAAGCCGCATTCCGCAGCCAAGGGGTCTGGCTTTGGTCGAAGTCGGTTTGAGACAGTCATGGGTGGACAGGGTTTTCTCCGTTTCCCTTTTTGGAACCACTTTCAGGTCTCCCAGTGATTCCATTTATATAGCACAGTGCTTCCAGTTCTCACTATAGCAACTCATGATAGTTTTTCCTGGGTACTGTAGTGGTTTGCCTGGAAGGGGGGTAGCCAAGACCCTGCCACCCTTTGAAAACCGGAAGGAACGCGTTTTGCCCATAGCCAGTGGCCGGTTAGCAGTGGTTACAACATGTCCGCCCCCCCCCCCCCACCCCCGCCCCCCGTTCAGTAAGTTTATACTATGGGTTATGCAAGCCATGTTAGTAGCCAACGTCAGAGGGTTTTGGGTGCTGCTCACATGTGTTGGGCGCACACTCAAGAACACATACACGCACACATGCACATGCACATCATGCATATGGTTGCTCACGGATGACGTTGGACTCATGCCAAGGACGTAAGCATCCTGCTTCGCGATATTGTTTGGGATTTCTGCTTGACGATGTGTCGTCTTGGCAGAAACAAGTAAGCATTTGTTCCATCTCAATGCTATTCGTCTGGAAGATATGTTCTTCCCCATTTTTCATGAACATGACAAGCGCACCAACCGCATGGTCAATTACACCGGCGCTTCCCTCGATGCTTCTTGCAATGATGATGGGCAAGTATGTGCATGATGTTTTTCTCGAGCCAAGCACATGGGAGCAGAATGTGCTCCGGAAAGGGTACTTCTCTTGATTCGGGATCCTTTGTTTCATGGGCGCAGGTGGAATGGTTCATATTCGTTATATCGATGGATCATTTCGTACCTGGTTTAGGAATTGACGGGCCTTGCCCCCTCCCCCCACTGCCGCATGGTTGTACTTCTTCCCTCACTTCCCTACCGCACTTCCTCCGCTTCCCCTCTGCCATTTGGGCATGGGTCAACATGAGCTGGTTTTCCTTGAAGTTTGTCGTAAACAAAGGTGAACAGGGTACCACCTCCCAAAACAAATTCTCCACTTCCGACTCGGTTGTGTGTGTGTGTGTGTCTGTGTATGTGTGTGTGTGTAAGTGTTTGGACCTTTGTTTTGTTTGCAGATGGATTCTGTGCACGTCCACAAATGAGGGAGAGAGACAACCTCATTTTGGTCCAGAGGGCCGTTTCCTTGGAAAACCTCTGAGGAACGTTGTGGCGCTGGTCGGGACCTTTTTCCTGGTCCGGACCTCACACCATGTTCGCGGTGAACGGGCCGGAAGGGGTTTTGGTGATGTTAACCTTGGATTGCGGGACTTAGTAAGGAAATTCAAGGGGCCTCTTAGTACCCATCGGGTGGATGCCCGCCCGGAATGCACTTTGGATGTGCGCAGTTTGTGGACAGAGCGGGTGCACTTGGGCAGATGTGCGCAGCGCTGATCGCGTGCTTATCGTTTGGCAGGCGCGTGTGCAGTGCCGAGCGCGTGCTCTTGAGCGGGGGTGGCAGGCGTGTGTGCAGTGCCGAGTGTGTGCTATTGTGCGGGCGTGCTTGTTGCGTGGCAGGCATGTGTGCAGTGCTGAGCGTGTGCCTTGAGCAGGTGTATCATTTGGCAGGAATGCGCGCAGCGCATTGCTGAGCGTGTGCTCTTGAGCGGGTCTTAAGCGGGCGTGCTTATCATTTGGCAGGCGCGCGTGCAGGCAGTGCTGAGGCTAGCGGGGTAGCGTGCGGCGGGATGGAAGCCCTGTATTGGGTCAACATTAGAAGGTGGAGCGTCTCAAGGGGTGCTTTTGACGCTGGCATTGTTGGAGCATGTCTGACGTGGTTCGATGTGGTCTATGGGTGATTTTTGTTGCAATGTGGTCCAGAATGGCCCCCGAACAAACCCTTGAAAGGAGTCGCATAGCCTCTTTTGGGCTCCGTGGTTTAGGGCGGTACCCTATGGGCATAGAATCTGACGGGATGTCCCTGGTTGAGACCTTTTCTTGACGCACATAAATTAATATTTACAAAGACTCACAATTACGCCTGTTTTTTTGAGGGACCTTTTTGGGGATGTTTTTCAAGGAACACCAAAAGAAGACGACACTTGTTTGGTCTCACCCATTCATGCCTTTCATGGATTTAGTCAACTGGGGACTCCGCAACACCCTCAAAGACCCCTGGGCCCTTTTGGGCTCTATTTGGCAGGGCTCCTTAAAAGATACATTTTGCCCATTTGAAACATGGCTTTTTCCACCAAAAGAAACGGAAACCACCGTTTACAAGGTATTGTTCAGGTGTATAATGTAAGGATCCCTGTTTCGGTGGTCTATGCGATTGACATGTTCTCTTGACGCATCCGGTCTTGGTGTCTCAGGCTGGACCGCGGAAGCAGATTCGTAAGATGTCGGACAAGAACCGAGCGCCGGCGCCCGGAAACGACCATCCCGGTCGGCCATACGGGCAATGTGTCGAGAAAGGGGATCCCGCACTTGTGGTTTTCCGTTCTCTTTAAACCGCCCTAGAATAGGGGAACCTCACAAAACAACCACGTGGTGCTTTGCCGACATACACCTTGCGATTGAAACAAAACGTGCTCTCACAAAGCCGCCACTTTGAACATTGGGTTGATGAGTTTATCTTATGCTGTTTGGGGTTGTGTGTTTCATGTTGTGTGTGTGTGAAATGCTAGACTTCAGACCCCCGTTCAGCTATAGTTTTGCTGCTGTTCCCTTGCGGGGTTCCACTCAGGGAGTAACAGTTTAACACTAGGTGAGGCCAAAAAATTGGTTCTTCTCAAAGTAGGGCTGGGTTCCGTTTGGCTTTCCAAATAAAAAGTGTCACGCTCCCAACCGGCCGCACGTCCCTGTCTATACATTTTGGAGCGCGCGTTGCTATGCTCTTGTTGCCTGCCGGACGAGGGGTTCAGGTAGCGTGTCCCTGTCCACCTGCTTCCCAAGCGTGTCCACCAGCTGTGCAGCTTGTCCTGTACTGGTCTTAGTAGTAATTAGCAGGTGATGGTAGTGGTAGTGGTAGTGGTAGTGGTGGTGGTAGTGGTAGTAGCAGCAGCAGCAGCAGCAGCAGCAGCAGTAGTAGTAGTAGTACTAGTAGTCGTAGTAGTAGTCGTAGTAGTAGGAGGAGTGGTAGCAGCAGTAGTAGGGGTAGTGGTAGTAGTAGTAGTAGCAGCAGCAGCAGCAGTAGTCGTAGTAGTAGTAGTAGTAGTAGTAGTAGGAATAGCGGTAGTGGTAGCGGTAGCTGTAGTTGTAGTGGTCGTGGTAGTAGTGAAGAAGAACCGCCTGCAACAAATGCTAATATCAAATGAGTAGCTTGACAAATTCATGCACGTTGCACCTCCTCTCTCCGCTGCGCAGCCGAACCTTGTTGGCTTGCTTTCTTTCTGCTGCTTTCTCTTGCCATTTTTTCCTGGACCGCAACTGCAACCCAAACTTCTGTGCGCCCCGTGACTCTTGCAGCTACACCTTGTTTCCGGATCCCATGACTGGTGCCTTGTGTCTAAATTGCGCTGGTCCTTTTGCTTTGCGGGCCCTATTTGGCAGCGGGCGGCCCCAACCCCCTAAAAGGTCTCAAGTGAGGGTATACGTAATCCCCGCCGGTCGAAAAAGAGCCTGACACCAACTAACAGGGGTCCACTGGGTCCACCATTTTGAGAAACTCCCATATCAGCAATGGTCAATAGTTACCATCATTCACTGTAGTAAGGGTGATGACATGGGTCACACTCACCAAATTTTGATCAGAACACGGGAGGTGACTAACCAAAGTCCCTTGTGGACCACAAGCAATGGTCAATGTTTTTTTGTGTTTATTTTCTCCCGGGCCCTTTTGTAGTTTTTGTTTTTTGCGGGCAACCAAAAGGACCCCACCCATTTACGGGGGGGTCCCTATTTTCAGCGGGGACAAGCACTTCCCAGGCACAGGCGTCTGCCATCTTCATCTGCGCCATGGTGATCACGTTGGTCGCGGTCGAGGCGTGGCTTAGGCCAAACCCGAGGGGTTCCTGAAGCACAAAGGGTGCCCTCATGACTCAAACCGACCACTCCACATACTGTAAGAAGTGGTCCCCGTTTTGATGGGTTCTCACTTGGCTGTTCCGGTGGGTATGAAACAGGAAGCCCAAAAAAGGTTATTCCATTTCGCGCTGTGTAGTAGGTGACCAAGGGAACCACCCTTAAAACACCCAAAGGAACACGGCTGGTTACCTACTTTAGAGGTTACGATCAGGGATAGGCACGTCAATCATGTTGGAACATGTGGCTGGTCAAGCCTTGCTAGACTGGGTCGACAGAGGCTCAATTCCGGGGGCTCATGTTTTCTGATACGGGATCCCCGATTTTCAGTCCTTTTGGAAGCAAGAGCAAGCAACAAATCACGCATCCAAGCTCCCGACGAGACTGGGAGTGCGCTCACAAATCTTTTGACCGAATCTAGAAACTCCCAAGGACGCTACAGGCTACCCTCCCAAGGCCCCCTAGATGGATAGGGATATGTGTTTTCTCGAGGGTCCCCTTTTCACCTTGGCTTCAAGGGAAACCAAATGACGTTTCCCCACAAAAAGGCTGGTTTTGAAAGCCGTGGTTGACAAGAATGGCCGGATTCAATTCAACCCAACGAAAAGGCACCTGTACAAAGAAACAATCCACTGATTTTGAAGAGAACCGGTGCTTCCAAATGGACCCAGAAGGACCACTCACCCACAAGATTGATGGTCTTCCCGTTGGTTCCCTTTTAGCGGTGAGAGAGAGTAAACATGTAACCGTTAAACATGGGAGCTTTGAGTTGCGGGCACGATCACCTTCTGGAGGGCTCCAACTTTCCCCGGAGCCGAGTTGTGAGGCCCCGCGATTCCACGGCCGCGCCCTGCTGATTTTGGTCCTGGTGATCATGCAGTGGCCGTGGACTCAGCAGAGCGAGCGAGCCTAGCCCGGGAAGGTGAGACAGTCATCAGAAGGTGTGGAGATCCGCCCTGGTTCGCTTGGTTTGGGGTTGATTTCGCTAACTCAAATGGGCTTTGGTTTCAAACGGGTTGATGACCAAAGAGAAGCCTTGAACCAATATTGGGTTGTTGGGTGCTTGAAAAATATGTTGTCATTATTGCAGGAGTCGACTTTTTGAGTAGTTGTTGGGATCCGATTCCAATATTAACTTCCCCTTTATTCTGTTCACCTTGGTTTAGTCAAAGGGGGCACCAACAGGAGCATCAGCAATTTTGGGGCTCCAACTCCCTATTTCGACACACACCAGACTGGTATACCTTTCATTTCCCGTTTAAATAATCAAAAAGCAACCATCAACTCGCATCCGGAGCGTTGTGCAAAAGCCAATCGAGTGCCGAACCCTACAGCGATGCTTCGCGCAGAAGCTTCGGCCCTTGGGTTTTCCACTGACCTCAACCAGTCCAATAAATCTCCAGGACACCCCACGAAGGTAGCCAAACACTCGCTAAAACCATCCCAAACCAGGGTTTTGCCTGGTTTCTTGGAAGTTTGCTTTGGCGTGGCAGATCAACTTGGTGTCCATGCTTAAGCTTGGGCTTGAGATAAGACTCAGATAGTTCAGACAGATAGCGCCCAAAAAGCTGATTCCCGTTGGCCATAGGTTGTTCCCTAAAATCCTTAAACCTAAACCCTAAAAACCTTAAACCTAAACCCTAAACACCCTAAACCTAAACCATCCTAAACCCTAATAACCTTAAACCTAAACCCTAAACACCTTAAACCTAAACCCCAAAAACCTTAAACCTAAACCCTAAAAACCTTAAACCTAAACCCTAAAAACCCTAAACCTCACCCTAAAAACCTTAAACCTAAACCCTAAACACCCTAAACCTAAACCCTAAAAACCTTAAACCTAAACCCTAAACACCCTAAACCTAAACCCTAAAAGCCTTAAACCTAAACCCTAAAAACCTTAAACCTAAACCCTAAAAACCTTAAACCTAAACCCTAAACACCCTAAACCTAAACCCTAAAAACCTTAAACCTAAACCCTAAAAACCTTAAACCTAAACCCTAAAAACCTTAAACCTAAACCCTAAACACCCTAAACCTAAACCCTAAGATCACCAAACCTGCCAGCACGATCATACAGCATAATAAGACCTTGTGGGCGACACGTATGTTTTGTGGGCAATGTTTGTATGTGCGGTGGTTTTCATTGCCCCCAAACCACCCCCAAGAGTTGAATTGGATGTACAGACAGTATACCCCTCTTTCCTCGTTCCGGTCGTGGTTTGGGGGTGGACACCATTTTAGACAAGGGGAAATCACCCAATTTGGGGTCGGGCTTTACTGCCCCCATGAAGCGAGGTAGGAACCGCCACACGGTGGATGCCCAAGAAAAAAGGCAAGTAAGGAAACAAGGAACCCCGCGTCATGATTTTGTGGCTGGGCGAGGTTTACTTGCAATATTTCGGGCATCCACCGCAGTGACCCCATGATGATACCAAAGTATCCCAAGTGAGAAGTTCGGAGGAACCCCCCAGAAGGACGTTGAAAACCCTTCAAAAACGCAACCAAATGACAAACATCAGGGGCATCCTATATATACACCTTTAAAATACAGCCATGGTAGTACAACAAAAAGTGAATGGATGGAACGGCGCTTCTCATATAATATGAGTGTGTGTGTGTGTCAAAAAGTAGGACACCAAAAACAAGGGTTGTCCTTTGCGTTTTCATTTAAACCAAGATCCAAAGGGCACCCTCAAAGAACACGCGCCCTTCTTTTGAACCCATGGTATCCCATGATTCATGGATTGATTGGCCGTTGACTAGGCTTGACTGTGGCAGGCAACCCCGGTATTTTTCTGCTTTGACCCTTGCAAGTGCCAGTGTGCTCTTGGATGACTTTCCATCAAACGCCGTGTCCCCAGAAGCCTCAGCCTTAGGTTCTCCCTGGTCTGGTACACTCTCTCCTACATTCCCTATGGCCAGAAAATGGCTTGGCGATTGCTGGCGAAGTGCCGAAGCCTCGGTTTGCGGTTTGCGCTGATCTTGTGTCTCCTTTTCGGCCAGCTTCAAGTGGGTTTCCTTCTAGTGGGGTGATGTTTAAATGGGTAACATAAGGGACCTGGAGAATTTCAAGATGAACCAACATGGGGTCTGGAAGACATGAACCCCACTTCACAGCCCCCCCACCCCCCCCACCACCCCCCCCAAAGAGACTGCGGATACACAAAGCCCGCACCAGGCGCCAGTTGGGATTCGCGGTTCATCAACTAGCAATCATGCAATTTCATCCTTCCCAACTTGTGAGAAGCGGATGTTGTCCGTCCACAGGAGCGCTAGCGGTCTTCTGGTCTTTTAGCCTGCTTGGCTGTGGATTTGGCTTTGCTTGTGGCATGCTTTTATTTGGACCTGCCTCAAGATAGCACCATCGACTTTCCGGCACTTTTATTTGTTGTATTGAAGAACCTTGGTGAGTTAGGACGCTGCCAGCTGCCGAGAAGCCATCGGAATTGGTCAGGAGTCCTACGCGCAAGCCACTCTAAGTCATGAAGGTCTCTCATTGCAGGTAGGTTTGAATGGAAAGCAACATGGGCCACTTTTGGGTCCCGAGTTTTGACACGTCAACTGAACGTAAGCGACCAAGCAGAAAGCCAAACATGCAAACCAAGCAGTCAAACAAAAGGCCATGGTTTATTACATTTGGTACACCCAACGAAACCCGAATACACGTCCGGCCAGTCAATTGAGCCTACGGTCCAGGGCATGACGTTGGGACATGGGGCCAGTGGTCAGCTGCAACCTGGCCCTACGGATATGTGCGGGAGAGGATTTGTGGCCGAAAGACGGAGTCTTGACTTTGGCACATCCAAACAAGCAGATTTGGGCAATGAGAATGTAGGATTCAAACGCCCCTTGGTGCTTAAAAGCAGGGTTGTGGGCGAACAACTCCCCCATGAATGTGCCACAGGCTGCAGCTGGTGCTGTACATTCTGAGCGGCTAGCAGTCTTTGCACCGTTTGGGCTTGCCAGGGTTGGGCAGAAGATGTTTGAGAAACCAGACCCTGGACGCTGACCTCCGAAAGGAGGTGGTTTAAACCACGCATGGCTCAAATTGAATAGGTGGCGCAACCCTGCGCTGGTGATGTTTGGGGCATGTTTGACAGCACCTTGCCCGAATTGCAAGTGCTGTGGCCCAGTTTCACAGAGCGTTTTGTAAATTCAGGTGTGCACTCAATCAGCATTTTAGGATGGGGCATTGCTAGGGCTATGCACATGCACTGAGCATGACGTTTATATCTGTTGCTGTGCTAAAAGATATGATTGGATTGTTTTAAAGGGAAACTCCTCATTATGCGACAAGCCCATGTAATTTAGATTCACTTTCATTCGTTCCAATTCAGCATGCTATGATTGCAACATCTGCCTTATAGTGCGGCGACTTTATATATGACGTCAGCCCACGACAGCAAGCATGATACACGTCCAGGAAGCACATGACTTGTCATGTCCAGGGTTGAAGCACGCAAGGTTCCGATGATCATTTCTTACGTTTTCAGCCGACTTCGACATTGTGTAGGAAGTCAAGCTTTCGCAGGATGCTCAGCATCGTGCCTTTCAGTAATTCGGCCAGCTAGTTGACAGAGCACACAGAATTGTGCATTGTTGAACGCAGTGCAACTCGGAACTTAACAGTGGCCAAACAGATTGGTGACTTGCTCTTGTCCTCAGCGCATGTACAGTGAGGACCGATCCGACGTTTGGTTGGCCGAAGCGAAGAAAAACGTACCAGCATCCACTAAAGGGTTCTCAATTAAGAATCATATGTTTGTTTTCATTCAAACCAGGGTGCGATACCCGGTGGCAATGTCCACAAAACCCAAATTAAGATTTACATCTGAATCTATGAAGTGTTGTGTGTTTCCTGCGCATACTCGTTTGGCGGCTGTTTAGAGGGAAACCAACGGATGGGGTCCAATTTTGCCACGCCGGGCCTGAAACTTGGATGCTGAATAGACCATATGGACCCTGTGTGTGTTTGATTTTCCCAGGAAATCAACAGAAGATGGAACATACTCCTTTTTGCCACCCTATTGGGTGCCCCGAAACTGTTCAAAATCAAACCGCAAGAGATGGCTTCCCTTGCAGTGGCGTCTCACGAATTATGGAGGATCTGGCCCCCATTTTGAACCCAGTCAAAGCTAATTCCATTGCGTACTATTTGGTGATTGCATCGCTTGATTTCTCCCGTTTTCTCTCGGGCAGCCAATTTTTGCAGAAGCTGGACGTGGGAATGGTGCAGGAGCAATATTTGGGCCAGTAGCCAACCCTTTCCTGAACTCACCGGGGGGGAGGCTCTTTTGTGCCTGATATTATGGTGAAGAGATGGGCACTGCATCACGCCATAGTGCCTTTTTCTCCACAGACCCTGCCCACAGGAACTAGCATTCGAAGCCCTTGGCTTGGGTAAATACTTGGCTGACTGGTAGAATTACCTGCATCGAAAGTGGGGGTTTAGGGTCACAGTTTGTGATAAGGGGATTTTTTGGGCCATGACATAGTCGGAATGGTGAGACTCGCTCGGAAGACTTTGGTGATCTTCCTGGCCCCTCCAAGCCTCCAACAAAATCAGCGGTTAGTTTCAGGATTTGAGCCACATGGGCACGTCCCTGGAACCATTTGGAGGCGCCGGCCAGGCTTGCCCTCTGGCAACCTGCACACAGCTTCCTGAACAGCCAAGGGGTTATGGGCATTGTAGGGATGGGGATCATCAAACGGGTCTTCAGCTTTGGGAATCGGCTTAAAGGATGCTCTTGCCTGTTCAGCAATGGCAATCCGTGAAGGATTCATAAGACCCCGCGGTTTTGCCGAAATCGAGTTCTCGCGATCCAACAGATCGGTCTCGACGGCAGGCCTTGGTCATTGTACAGAAGCTCTTCTTAGCAGCGTGTGCCCGGCTGCCTTGGATTCTTTCCAGATAGGTGGCATGGTGTTCACATGGTGAATGTAATCCTAGTTGCGTGGGGTCTGGGGGTTGCGCCCTTCCAGAAAAACATGGAACCCAGAAAACCGTAAGTTTCAAGGGGAACCTCCTTTTGGGCGACCCTTTTTTTGGGTTCCACGTTAATTTGCACTCGCAGACCACCCGATTCCTCCATACCTCACAGGTTTCCGCACCGTCTTAACCAGGGGAAATGAACATATTGTGTGACACAGAGAAGTGGCAGCCACAACCTTTGCCGCCCACAAAATGCAGGCCTTTGCCCGATCTTCCATTTCAGGAAGGAGTTGTTTAGGGTCTTTGGAAGGCTCATTTTCTCCAAATGGTGCAATAAAGGGAGACCGCTCTCAAAGCTAGTTTTGACAGCCGCTAAAGATGTTCTCCGTTTACCCTCTTAATGGTAGTTCAACGGTGACACCACTCCTGATTTTATGTTGGAGACCCCTGCGAAAGGCGAGCACTTTAAGGGACCCGGTGCAGGGAACCATGGGGTCCTGCCGCGCTTCGCGACCCGCTTTGGGAGGTAAACCAAGAAAGGCCGACCCGGCCGACCCTTAAGGACCCTTTGCCAGGTCCCCTGCCCCCCAAGTATTTGACATGCTTCAGCATGCATCATAGGCATCTCGACCTTGGCCAAACCGAAGCCAAACAACTAGCGAACCCCGTGCTTGCATTTCCCTGTTTTGTAGACAACCAAGGGGAGACATCCTTTTGCACTCCTGCATATCAACACAGAACCCAAAACGCCATCATGAGGAATCTCCTCTTGGAGGACCTCTTGTTTGGGTTCCATGTTAATTTGCATGGGGACAGCACAAAAATACCAATTTCCGGTTGCCTACTGTATACATAGCCGGGATCCACTAAGAACCACAGTGCGCATGGCAGGCTCGTGATGCATTTTCCGGCGCGCCTGGCCGCGGTGGCGGAGTTCCTCCTGGGGCGCCAGCCTAAGGGCCGGTGGGTTTCTATCTGGTTTTATTGGAGTCACCGGAACCTGACGTTCGGGGGGTCCTGGAAGACCCTCGAACGTCACGTTCCATACACTTGAGAGGGTACTTTAAGGCCAATACAAACCTCTAACTTATATATATATATAATATTGGTAGATGCAAACCTTGAGATATAACCATGTTGGTGGACACATACCTTTGCATATACTTAATACATATATATATATATATATATATACACATATATGTACATAAACATAATTATGACGTAGACCAGGAGATGTGGCAGATGCGTTTCATCGACGGCAGGTACGTTTTGTGGATTTGCCGAATACTAACATATGTCGCCTATGATCCCTGAGAATTAGTTTCATTTTGCCATAATTCAATTGTAAATTGTTCATGATCGAAGCCCTTACCTCACGAAACAGGAATGTTGCAGGTCAACCCTCACGAGGATTACCAGCCAGTTCAAAACTAACCTCAGGCCATTTAGCAGTGCTTCCGGGGCACTCTCCCTGAAAATTCCGAACAATCTCGGCCGCTGTTTCGCCTTGGAGAGTCTGGCAAGAATCACTTGCTGGAAGCTAATCGACCTTTTCAAAGCAATCGACCTGTTGGACAACGGTTCACTTCTCCAAGCTCCAGGTTCTTCTTTTCGCAAGTGAGAAGGGGCTAGGGCGTACGTGTGGGAGTGCCTGAACATTCTCCTCGTCGGCATGGCCATTGCCCTTCACAAAATAGGGTTCCTCGGGGGCATTATTTTGGGCCACATCCAAGTTCAAAAGCAGAGCAAAGTCAGAGCGGTGAATGGGCTTCAATTGCCTGAGCTGGGTGTGCTCGATAAGTACCTACAAGTACCCCAAAATGTTTGGCAGACATAAATCCAGCCATGAAATTCTGATATCCACCAACCTGTCCAACCACTTAAAACCCCCCACCATGCTATCCCTGCCTTTCCCCCTTTGATGAGAAGACGGCCCTTCCGGCGCAAATGGGAAAACGGGGAGGGGGAACGCTGGCAGATGGGCCAATTCTGGGCCCCTTGTCTGGTTCCTCCGTGCCCTCATGTTATACTACGGCTCTGGTCGTATCTTGCGAATCGTTTGACCTTAGGACTGTGAATAAGTTGACGTTTAACGGTTCATGTACCGGCCAATAGCAGCGCAGAGAGTCAGTGTCAGTGCTGCGGATCCCAACGCCTTATCTTTACTGGGCATGGGGCAATGGCCGTGAACACGGCGAGAGCATCATGTATGCAACACATGTGGTTCACTCATGTACTGAGACGCGCACCAATCCCGAAGTCGGATATCCGTCTATAGGGGTATGGAAGTTTGTGGGGGCCCTTCTCCCCAGATAGGGCAGGCTTTAGCATGCTGTTGTTTGGCTCACTCCCTGAGTGCCTGGACTTTATACTTTGTGGGAAGTCCATTTGAGTAGCCAACACACAGTTTAGAGGATGTTTTTGGCCAGTCCACTCCGAAAGCGAGTTGGGTAGATCTTGCGTGTGCTCGCATGGACGGCCCACTGCCCATCGCAGGTGGCTCGACAGCTTTCCAAGAGCGAAGCTGGTGGTCGTCATGGCGCGGGCCCAGCGAACGGAAAGAGCTTCTGGTTGCTGTTTGGGCGGTTGCAAAAGGAGCAGCTCATGTGGCCATTGGCACAGAACCAGTGAGCCATGGGCTGAAAGGGGTGTCCGATTCAGGGACTCAGCTTGGGGACCCGCTGTTCATCTACCATGTTCTTTTGTTTCCTCTTTTTTTTCCTTTTCGAAATTTGGAACGAGCGGAGCACAAGTTGGATAGCCCCTCAGAATCCCTTGGTGTTTAAGGATGTACTTTGACCTGTTTTGAGCCTAAGTTCATCCTGAGGTACTTGTACCCGGGATAGAAATGAGGATCACGATACTCCAACACAAGCATAATTCGGTCAGGGGTCAACATGAATGGGACTTGGAAAGCCAGCCCAGCGCAGTGCTCCCAACTAGGGTGTGCTACCTCCGATTAGGCTTTATGATGGCTTTCTCTGCAACACTGGGG